CCAAATTTTTAATAATCGCCCTTTAAATAATAATGATGAGTAAATAATATAAGTAGCTTGTCTTTATAATATAATAATAAATTTCTTATTTTGGTTTTTGTTATAAGATAAGGATTTTCTATGTTATTTAAATACTTTTTTAATTTATTAACTTTTGCGCCCGAAGTGAGGATCTTTGTGCGATCCTGTTTACACTATTAAATTACAGTACACGCCATTTTTATGCACTAAACAATATTATAATTGACTTTAATATTCTTGGAAATTGTTGTTGATTTTAAACCTAAACCAATTATAAAGGCTTTAAAATTGTAATTTTGATAGTCACTATGCAAAAAAACAATGCTGAACATTTTATCATGACATATTATGGCTTCAATTTTCAATTATTTATTTAATTATAGTTCAAAGAGAATTTTATATCAATTTTAAAAATAAAATTTTCATGTTTTAAGTATAATAAATTTTTAAAATTTAAAGTAGTTACATACTTTAGTATTAGGATCTTTTACTAAATACTATTATATAATAAATAATTAACATCATAAAATGAAAATATTATTAAATCTTTAATGTGATCAAAACACATACGATAAATAACGGTAGCACAGTGTGGTCGTGACATAGTTGGGACAAGTTTAGATAATATCTCACAGTGATTACAATCATTATCATAAGAAAAGCGTCGATATACATCTGTAGATAGTGTTTAATTTTAAGAAATTGGTAGATCATTCCAAAAGCAAAAAAACTCCAATTTTTTGTTCTACTTCGAATGCCATTTGTACATAGAAAATAGGTCGTCGGTACAAATTTTTTTTTTTGAACATCTAGTACATAAAAGAATCTTTATTTTAACATATAATTAAAAGACGCAAACGTATTCCTGGAACATTTTCAAGAGTTAAGTTGAAAAAGTTCTATTTTTTATAAAAAATTTAAATTTTCAAAAATTCAAAAAAGCTTTTCTTAACTTTAAAGAGACAATTTAATCAAAATAAGTATATATTTCTATTTAATGTAAGTTAAATTTATGTAAATATCATATTTATTGCCGGACTCATTACTATGGAACTTAAAGGTATTTTAAAATGAACAAAAAAAAAAAAATAATATTTGAACACAAAAATAGAAAATAAATCGTCAGGACATATATATTTTTTTATTTATAATACGTAACATAAGCTTTAATTTGACATATGTTTTAAGGACACAGTATTTCCGGAACATTTTTAAAACTTATGTTGAAAAAGTTGAGTTTTGTAAAAGAGTTGCTATTTTGAATTCCCTCTGTGGGCAAGTAAAGGGTCACAATAAAATTTATATCAAATGAAAAAGAAATACGTAAGATGTTTATATAAAAAAATTATTTTGATTTGTTCATTTTTCAAGTTATGGTAATGTTTAGAAAAAAAATGTTGAAATTTACTGATTTTTTGAGGAATTTCCACCATTTATGGAAAACGAGGGAATAATGTTGAATTTTTGAGAGTAATGTCGTATTACTAAGAAAAATCGGTCCAGTGAGAGGTGAGAAATATAGTGATAGAATAAAAATATAAACACATTATGGTATAATTAATACCTTCTCAGTTTCGTATCGGAGTTAAAAAAAAAAAAAATGTTGAATATCACTACAATCGATATGTTTTTAACATCTACATCGTTAGAGCATGCTACTAATGTAGAAATAAGTCAAATCAAAGCATTTTAAAAAAACCCAGCACAGTGGGGACACGGCATAGTGAAGACGTTGCATAGTTGGGTCCAGTATAAAATCACTATCATAAGAAACGCTTCCATGCAAATCTGTAGATAGTGTTTAATTTTAAAAAATTGATGGATAATTATAAAAGCAACATCAACTTCTATTTCCTGAATTATACCCAGATTAGTAATTCTTTTAATTATATATTATATAATTTTTAAAATTAATTGTTTTCAAATTATTATTGATTTTGAATATGTTAAAAGTAATCATTTTGAACCTACTTTTTATTGTCCTTTAAAGTGAAAGTTTTAATAAAAAAAAAAAAATGAATTTATTACCATAACATTTAGCTCAACTTGCAAGTTTGAAATTGACATTATTAAATAGAAAAAAATGAAATTGTTAAGATTAATAAGCAATCAAGGAATTTTATAATTACTATTTACAGTACATTTATCAGAAAAGTTAGATTTTTTTACATTTTTATCGTAATAGATCACTTAAATAAAAATCATAGCAATCATTTCTAATTAACTTATGGCGTTTAAAAAGATTATGGAAGTTTTAAGAAAAAAAAGTGAAAAAAATGACAAAATTTTTCGATTTTTAAATTTGTAATTTTTTTGGATATTTCCCCCATTTGCGGGAATGAGGCAACAGACATAAAAAAAAAGAAAAAAATACATCATGGTAAAATTAATACCTTCTCAGCTTCGCATCGAAGATAAAACACAGCTGTTGAAAATATAAGATAATTATTCTAAGGGCGTGTACAATCAGCTCTATGTTACTTACTTAAGTAACTAGTATATAAAAATAATGCTCATAGTGATAGATCCGTTCAATTGAATTTATTTAGCGAAGAGGAAAAAATATATTTATAATACGTTATCAATATGTGTCATTTCGGAATATTTGAATTAACTGCAATTATGAAATTTTTATTTTATAAATAGTCGTTTTAATTTGTAAATATTTAGTACTCATGTAAAATAATAAAACAAAAGCCTTCAAAGAAAAAATGTCTCAAGTAGAGCCGTCCTGGCTTTACAGTAAAATAACTCATAAAAAAATATTGTAGAGACAATTTTATCTTTTTCATTATAAAAAACTCTTAAAAATATTTGATTTGATAAAGGAACGCAAATGTCACAAAATATTTTCAAAGTAGACCTAAAAAAAAATTTTCATGCGTAAGAGGTCTTACTCAAACTCATCAGTACTCAATTTTTTATAAAGAGGTAAATGTTTTACCTCTTTATATTGAAATGTCTATAATATTTTAATGTTTGGTATATTTTTGAAAGAGTAATAACAAAATTAAAATATGACGAATTTTATAAAGACATTTTACAAATTTGTAAATCTAAAGGTAAATAACTCATAGAAAAAGTATCGTGATAAGTTATTATTTATTTTTATCATAAAGTACTCTTAAAAATCTTTAAATTAGCATAACTATTGGTCTATCAGATTTTCCAAAACATTTTCAAAAGTTGAAAATATAGTTTTTTTTACTTGCGAATTTTTTTACTTAAATAACCGATTTTACATAAAAGACATCTATAGAGATAATTGGTTTATAATACTGTGGTACATTTCAAAAGATTTAATATTGTGTAGGTTAGAAAAACGTAAACGCCCGAAATATTTAAAAATAGAATTGAAAAAAAATATTTTACATGCATTGTTGGTCCTATTTAAACTCTTTCTGTACAAAATATTTTCATTGAATTTTTACAAAAAAATTATCGTATGTTAGCTCATTGTCTTATTTATATTGTAATAAAGTTGCTTTACGATCTATACTTTTGAATAACAGTAATAGCAACTTTAAAATATAGAAAATGTCATTTTTTACAGTAATGTAGTTTGGAGATTTTTTCAAATTTTCAGAACTAATAAGTTCAACTAGAATAAAATCAGGATTTTTTAACGCATAAACAAACAGAATCAGTATAGTGAAAGCTGAAAATTGTCATGGACAGGAAAAAATCATGAAATACATCATCACAAAACTAATACCTACTCAGCTTTGCATCTATGTTAAAACAAAAGAAAAAAAGAATAATTCAAAAATAATTTTTGACAAATAATTTTTATTTTATTTTATTTGAATCATCCAGCTGTAAAAGGATATAAATCCGAAAAAAATTATTTTTTAATTTTGCTTTCTCTTGACAAATTACGCAATAAGTAGATAGGAACAATAAAAATAAAAATTTAAACATCTGTCCTTTGTAATTAGGTGACTCAGTTATTAAATATCGATCTAGAATAATTTCAAAAGAAATATGATACGGTGATGTAATTAAGAAAATTACCAAATAGCAGATAATAACTTTCGGACAATACTTTGGAAGTTGTTTACAATTAGGGAAGAGAAGTAGTTAGTCTAGTGCTTCAACTCCAGTCTATACATTTAAATGTTAATAACTTCTGAGGTATTAGTCCAAAAGTTGTTATCAGCTTGTCCTTTTCTTAGCTGGATCATTTTGTATGTTGTTTTTAAAAAATATAAAGTTTTTACCTTTATAAAACATAAAGGATGAGCCGAAAAAGCACTCAATAATTGATAAATCGTGACAGAGGCGTAACTAGGGCGTAGTAAGGGATTATAACATCTTTTCCCCCGAAATGATTAGCGAAGTTTGATTGTTTTATTTGTGACATTATATCATAAGTTATAAATTAGACCAGAAACACCTTGTATATCTTGCTTAAATCATTGAGTATTGTTATTTAAAAGTCAATGATTCTGCGAATTGAGTATTAGTATCTACATAAAATAATACAAAACTTAAATTTGATGGGCTGAAGCAACTATGATTAACCTAATATCATAGTGATCTAGACATGCCTGATTAAATTTTGACATAAAATAATTTTAAATATTGATAATAATTAATGTTTCTTTTATCATTATTATTTTTTTGTGGTATAAATTTACTAAATTTGATTTTTACTGTATTAATAAAAGTAAAAATAAATAATAACGAATTACTTTTAATTATATAATAATATTATATTGTTCTAATTAAATTAATTAATATCTATTAAAATAACAGTCGACATTTCTACCCTTTACGGAAAACGGTAACTTGTTAACTACTTTAGTTCACTTTGAACTCGCCGCAGTCAACTGAATCTCGGAATGCTCAGCTAATTACATACTAGTAAATCGAATAAATCATACGGTAAGCGAATAATAAGAACTATAATAATAAAGTTACAAATACTATGAGACCAAGAATATAATGCAATGTTGTATAATAGTATAAAAAAATACCTGAATGTGACCGGTTTTCGGAGTCTGCGATTCAGCTTTAGTAGCATAAACGTGTACAATGTACTGTTCGGCGCCACCCTCTCTATCGAGTACTGCAGCCGTGTAAAGCACGCCCAGTTTAACGTCTACAGTGAACATCCGATCAGCCTGCTGTCCGTTGGGCCCGGTCACGTTCACCACATAATATTCAATTTGCTCGGGCAATACATCCATTTTTAACACACTAGTACCGGGTGGTTCATTTTCATACACAGATCCTTCGTAATTCCTGATACCAATTAATTTTTCAGGACTGTCTACAGAAGTTAAAATGGTAATGTAAGCATCGGTTGATTTACGCTCAGGTTGTACAGCCTCATCTGTAGCACGTACAGTAAGTTTGTATAAACGTTCTGGCTGAATCAATTCTTGTCGTAAAGTAATAGCTCCAGTTGTTCTATGAATTTCAAAAAGATCAGAATCACCACCAACCATTTCATAAGTTACAAGACCGTTAGTGTTTGAGTCCGCATCTTTGGCAATTACATACATTATATGTGCTCCTTTGTATCTATGTCGTAATAAGCCATTATCCATTGATACAAACACAGGCGCGTTGTCATTTTCGTCATCAACAATTATAGTAACAGTTTTTTCAGTAAATAATCTGCTTTCCTTAGGTATAGCTTGATCAATTGCTGTTACTGTTAACCTATATGTATCAGTGTATTCTCGATCAATTGATAATATAGTACTAATTACTCCGGTATGTTCATTAATCGTGAAACTTCTCCTATCATTATCGGGTTGTTGGTTAGTAATTGAATAATAAATAAGTCCATTTAAATCTGAATCCGGATCATCAGCAACTACATTAATTATTGATGTACCTATAGGAATATTTTCAAATATTTGTCGAACTATTGCTGTACTAGGAAATTGAGGTGGATTATCGTTACAGTCTAATATAGTTACGTGAAATACTAGTGCGGAAGATAGTCTAGGATTTCCACCATCGTATGCCGAAATATTCAATGCATATGAGTTTATATCTTCATAGTCTAATTTTTTATGTAAATAAAGTACACCACTTTTGGAATCTATTTGAAATGTGTCCCTTTTATTACCTGAAACAATTAAATAATGAACTTCGCCGTTAAAACCCAAATCTGGATCTGTAGCATGAAATTTCATTAACTCTGAGTTAATTGTTAAATTTTCATAAATTTCTACACCAGATGTTGATTTTTCAAATTTTGGTGGGTTATCGTTGTCATCTAATACTTCTACTGCGACAGTAGTAGACGCATTAAGTTGAATAGGTGATCCATTGTCATAAGCAGTGACTCGTAATAAATATGATGCACACTCTTCTCTGTCTAAACGAGAATTTATAGTAATTAAACCACTATTACTATCGATATGAAACTTTGATGTATGATTGTCTTCCAATGTATAATGTACCAATCCATTTTTACCATCGTCTTCATCGCTTGCAAAAACTCGTAATACATGTGTACCTATAGATGAACTTTCAGATACTTGTACTCTATACGGTTGTCTGAAAAACTGTGGATGATTGTCATTAACATCATTTATATAAACATTAATTTTAGTTTTATCTTGTAATGAATGCTTTCCTTTATCTGATACAATAGCTTCTATAACGATAACATTTTGTCCAGTTAATCGAATTAATTGCTCCCGATCAAATTCTTGCTTTGTTCTGATAAACCCGTTTTTTGGATCAATCAAAAACTCAGATTTATGATTTATCAAAGAATATGTTAATTCTGCATTTCGACCTGAATCATGATCAGATGCAAGTATTTTACCCACAAAAGTATTCACTGGTTCATTTTCATATATCATAAAACTAAAAATGGCATTACTAAATTCTGGTTTATTGTCATTTTCGTCTGTTATGTGTATTACAGCTAACACGGATGAACTACGAGCTAGCGACCCTGCATCATGTACAACAATAGACAGTGCATAATAATCACGGGTTTCTCTATCCAATCGATTTTTAATATACAACATGCCATCAGGAAATATTCCAAATTTATTTTCCAAGTCACCTTCTGCTATAAAATATGACAACCGAGCGTTTAAGCCATAATCTTTATCTGTAGCAGTTAAACCAAAAAAACGACTGTTTACAGCCGTAGATTCAGATAATGAAACCTCGTAGGAAATTTGATCAAAAATTGGAGTATGATCATTTACATCGAGAACTGTAAATAATATAACATGTTTAGAACTAAGTGAAGGGTTACCTGAATCAGTGGCTACTATTTCAACTGGTAAAACTGTTCCTGGTGCCACATTAACTGGTTTATTCAAATATATGATTCCAGATGATTCAGTTATATGAAACAATTCATCAGGATTAGAGACTAATCGATAAGTCACACGACTATTCAATCCTATATCTTTATCTTTAGCTCTAGCAACACATAACTCCTGACCAATGGCCGTATTTTCATACAAGTCTGCCTCGTCTATAACGGTACTAAAATTTGGTTCGTTATCATTTATATCTAAAATAGTAATATTCACTACAGTTGAACCAAATTTTTTACCCTCTCTAACGCCTATTTGAATATTGTAAAATGATATTGTTTCTCGATCAATTTTTTTTATCGTGCTTAAAATACCACTAGAATCTATCATAAAGTTTCCATTATCACCATTCATTATAAAATATTTAACATTACTTTTTACTTCTTTTATATGAATATGACCAACATATCGATTGTATGTCAACTCTTCTGATTTATCATGATCTTCATATATTTGAAATGAATAACCATCTGTTTTATCAAATTTAATTGTTACTTCAGGATTTTTAATTATTTCCACTACTGCGTTTTCAACAGCTTGCCGCCCACCCTTATCTGTTGCTGTAACATGTATAAGATAAATAGATTTCATCAATTCAAATCCATTTTTTATATATATTGAACCATCTTGAACGTCGATATTAAAAAATTTAGAATCTTCACTACTGACTAACTTATATTCAATAGAGGAATTTTCGTCTAGATCATATGCTGAAACGGACAATAACTTAGATCCAACTTGATGATCATTTATTAGAGATACATAATGTGATGGATAAAAGATTGGATTATTATCATTAACATCCAAAATACTAAGTTTTACAGTTGCTGTGGACGATTTGGGGGGAAATCCTTGATCTTTTGCTAAGACTTTAATGTAATATTCAGAAATTTTCTCTCGATCGAGTTTTGTCTTTACAATTAGCTGCCCAGTTAATGAATCTAATGAAAATGCACCATTATACTTATAGTGAACCTCAGGATGTAAACTATATGATACACTACCGTTAGTGCCTTGATCATGATCTGTTGCTGTTAACATAGCAACTAAAGTGTTTTCCGGAATATTTTCCAACAATTGTACAGTAATTTCATCCTGTGTAAATTCTGGTCGCTCATCATTTTCATCCAACACTATAACTTTTAATTGTGTGAAAGCCCACTTTGGATTTGGACCACCATCTCGGGCAGAAATTTTCATTTCTATAGCTCCCATTTTTTCTCGATCTAATTGGTCTTTTAATACAACTAGTCCTGTATTTGAATCAATATCAAACCACCCAAAATTGTTACCAGAAACTATTGAATAAAAAATTTGAGCATTAATACCGGTATCTTCATCCATAGCAGTTATACTAGCCACATACGTGCCTACTGGCGATAGTTCACTGAGTGTAGTTGAATATTCGCTCTTCTCAAATACCGGTTCATGATCGTTAATGTCGTTGACGTATATCAATAGGTACGCCATGGTGGTCTTGGCGGGGGTCCCTTTGTCACTGGCCAATATAGTAAGATTGTATTTGTTGATCTGTTCTCTATCTAATACACCATGAACACGAACGATGTAAAAACTCTGTGACGATTCTAATCTAAAATTATTCATTTCGTTTCCGGCTACAATTTCTACAAATGTTTCGCCATTTAGCCCTTCATCTGGATCCATCACAGACACGGCGGCGACCACAGATCCATTAACTGCATTTTCATCAACAGTAGCAAACAATGCTGTAGATGGAAAATAGCGAAATTTTATAAGTGGATCATGATCGTTAGCATCAATGAGGCTAATCGTTACATAAGCTCGTCCGTCTTGTCTAGGTGAACCATTATCCCGTGCATGAACTGTAAAAACGCAACTTTTTGGACATAGTGACTTTAATTGTGTGTGTGGACAATTTTGCTGTGGGCAATTTGGCAAATCTGTCGTATATATTGCACCTGTTTCTGGATCCACACGAAATCTAGATTCCGACATTTCTGGTAAATAATATGTTATACGTCCATTATCTCCTAAGTCTGCGTCTGTAGCAGTGACTTGGAGGGTGAACGTACCTGACGGAGCACTTTCATTTAACCAAGCACTGTAATCGGTATGAGCGAAAATAGGAGGATTATCATTAACGTCTAATATTGTTACATTAACTGTTTGATATCCATATCGTGTTGGTGAACCACCGTCTCTTACAGATATATTCAACTGATAAAAGGGAATAGTTTCGCGATCTAATTTGCCCGTAGTTTGCAGGTATAAATAGGATAAATCTCCTTCAGGATTAGATGTCACGTCCAACCGAAATTTATTATCAATGTTTCCAGCTACAATTTTATAATCGGAAGAGACACTATTTATACCTGAGTCTGCGTCAGTTGCCGTATCGAGTAGAACCTTATTATCTGGCGCTGCACTTTCCGGAAACGATACCGAAATAACAGGTTCTGGAAATTGTGGAGCATTGTCATTAATATCAATAATCAAAATTCGTACTTCGATGGGGTATGTAGGTTGGCTTGATAACACAATAAAATCGTATCTATCATTTCGAAGTGTTTCTCTGTCGAGTATTTGTATAGTAGTAATTTCACCCGTAGTACTATTAAGTGCAAATTCGTCAGAGGGCTCATTGAACCTATACGAAAATCCCGGTCTAATTGGTAACCAACCGACGGATGTTCCCTTAGGCTGACCTTCTAACACTTCGAATTGCACTCTCGTATTATCAGTATCCCCGTCAGTAGAACAATAAGAATAATCGAATATCGCGACTGCCGCCAAATAATATATTACTGAGTGCCATATCATTGTACCCGCGGTGTGTTTTATCATTGCCTGGACCACATAATTGCATTTATTCACTACACTATCACTGCACCACCGTAATCCATATCGTGTGTTAAAAAAATGCACTTCCGCTGAAAAATTACGCTAGACGCCTAAAAAATTTAAATTTTAGAGCACTGAAATTTTATTAGATCGAAAGCGAAACATTTGCCGGCGCAACAAAACCAGTTAACAAACAAACGCAAAACACATAACACACGGCGAATGTATGTGCGTATACTGAAGACTGGTTGGATAGGATCGGTCGACTCGGTCGCATTCGAAGTGGAAACATTCTTTCAGTAGGCCCCCTTCTGCGCGTTCCACGCTATCCCCTCGCCTGCCGATCACCGCTATAACCCCACACAAATACACACACACACACACCCGTCCATGCACCGCTTCGTACCATACACACGCGGAGAGCCCGTTTACCTGTCAAGATTGTCCGCCGCCGGCCCTTGTATGTGTGTGAGCGCGCGCGTGTGTATAGGTATATTATGTATATATGCCGGTCTCTCGTCGGTCGACGACGGCACTTGAGTATTTTACTGCTGTTCTGTTATGCCGGATTCTAGTTGAAGGTATTCAAGATGGCTGCACCCCGTTTGCCGTTCGCGCCCACCACCGGATTTCTTATGACGGGGATTCGCTTTGGCCGAGTGCAAGCGTGCGCGCGCCCATTCATGCGAGTGCGTTTGTGCTTTGTCCGTTTGGTCATCTTACACTAAATTTTAAGATAATTTTTTAATAAAAATCATTAAATAATAATTTCCTATGTACCCTTGGATTTACAATTATTGTATTCAACCAAGAAAGCAATTTCAAAGAATAAATGTTGAGTAAAAATTGAATGATGCCTTTATTTCAAATAAATTGTTATTATATTAATATACAATTATAATTTTAAAAAAAATTACTCTGGTATAATATTTAACCAATTGGATTTATAACATATAAAAATGATATGGTCAAAAGATGATTAGAAATTATTGACCATGCCACTATAAAATAAAGATTCTTAATTATGGTTCCTAAATATTATAGAATAAACACCTGTTTCTCATCTATTAAGATAATATTTATCGTGATCATTGTCTACTAAACGGTTATTGAAAATGATTCGGCTTATAACTAAGCATCCAATTATCAGTGTTTTCTTTTTTATACAAACATAGACGCATCGTTTGAGAACATCTACAAGTCTAATACAAGTTAGGAACGCACAACAAAATCTTTGAATTATTACGGTCTTTTTAAAAGAGCATTTTAGATTTGATTATCACAGCGGTATTCCGCGTACCTATTGTACCCAAAATACTATCGACCAGTGGGGTCAGCATCCAGATAGCACGTCATATTTTGTACCTTTTTTTATATTTATATAGTTTTGAAGAAAAATAAATGCATTCAACTAGAAGACGGCAACATACTATTATATTCAGGTATAACAAGAAAAATACGTGGTTAAATACACGCCAGGGGTTATGGAAATGTGTTGCGATCACTAGTAAAATCTTGTGAATCGAAACTTGTTATTTTCAATGCATAAATATAATCGCAACCGCTCACATGTGATAATACTGTAATGACATGGTGTATTCATTTATATCATTGATACAGATTATTGTTTATTATTGAAAAAGTTTCATAAATTGGAAACATGAATGATATAATTTCAATTAACATTATCGTATTGAAAATATTTTTTTTAATGCTGCTACTGTAAAAATATAATTTGTGTTAATATAAAATAAATAACTCATATTTACGTACTTCAATAGTTGAATTTAAAATTATGTATAAATCACACTCCTATATGTTATTAATAAAAAGACAATTGTAGACTATCTAGTTACTTTTATCGACAAATTTATGGTCATAGATTATATAGTGGGGTTTAAAAAACATATTACCTTATATATTGCAGACTCGTTTGGTCATTTATCTTGTATTTAATACTAGTGACCATTAAGTATCACAATGAGGTATTAAAATGGTACATTATATGTACTACGTATAGAATTATAAAACTAATTGAATCTTTAATATATTTGTTAAATGTTTTCTTCTGAGATAACAAAAGTAATACATAATCTAAACAATTAGTATTTCTTAAACTCTTCAAGTTTTTATAAAAAGATGGTTTATTTAAACATTTAAATAATTTATTAGTATAATTATTAAAAGAGACGCTTAGAAATTCTTTCTAAAGATTTTATTTGTTCACTAATTTATACTATTTTTAAGGCATAATATAATAATTATGTTATACCGATGATTTAATAAATTATTTATTAAAGCTTCATACATTTTACTTTTTAGCTAAAATGAATTAACAACTATTCTGTTATTAAAAAATTGTTTACGTATTAGTAAATTTTAATATTTTAATGAATATTATATTTTTTGTAAATAAATCACTGTATCATAGAAATAAAAATAAAAAACTAATATGCTTAAATAAAGTTAATTTTGAATAAACTTACTTTTGTTTGTTCTCCTAAAAATTAGTAAAAATAAGATGTGAGATGTAGCCCTTAATCAACGTAAAGATATTCTTAAAAGTAGTGAAACGTTTATAAAAAGAATAAAGAAGATAAACTGCGCACCACAACAGTATAAATTAAACAAAACAAAATTTCTAAAACAAAAATATTCTTAAAAAATTATGCCCCTTCAAAAAAATATATATAAATAATAAATTATTTTGATTCCTAACAAGGTAAGATATATTTGTATGCAAGAACACTGGTGCACTTCATAAATTCGTAAAGTGTCTCAACAACAAAATCAGTCATCACTCAAAAATGGATATTACAGTAACTAAAAGATCTGTAGTTAATTGCTTACAAAATTTATAATCCACACAATCTCAATAAGTGTAACTAGAGGACTCGAAAAACCTTAGAACATCCTCAAAACTTCAGAAAATTAGATATATTGTCATGTAAAAGTTAATTTTAGGGTGGGCAGAAAATATAATTAGTACCCTCCAAAATTGTATTTCAATTTTGAATCTGTAACCATATCAGATAGTAAAATATATGGCATTTAATTTGCATTAAAATTTAAATATATTATCCTAACAATAATGCGTACTTTATTTGATAATATAGCATAGTATAGATTTATTCTCTAAGACAATATTGCGATTTTGCTGTAAAAAATTAATATCAAAATAATTCTTATTATTTTTGATTGGCTAATTCATTAATCTATTGGCACCATTTTGAACCTAAATATAATATTCACTAACAGGTGAAATTCAGTGGCGTAAAAAAGGGAATGCAGAGAATGCGGCTACATTTGACCCTTAAATCGAAGAACCTTTCTATTTGTTCAGATTATTGATTTCTTTTTTGTCATTAGCAAAAAATATTTACCACTTCAAATTTTAATAAAACTAGAGTCAATATGGACAAATTTGTAAATTTATGCCAAGGATATCTTATTAAAAATTTTTGAGTAAATTAATCAATTTGTAACATTAATATTCTCTCGGCACCTCCTTTCCACTCATAAAAAATATCCTGTAATTTAAGTACATAATAGACCTTTGTATAAAAACATCCAAAGAACTTAATGCATTAAAACCTTGTACAAAAAAATGTTGTTTATTAGTACAATACCTACTGGAATAATGCCAATATTTTAACACAAAATAAAATCTTTCACTAAAAATAATTTAAATATTAATATAATTAGAGGCTTATACATTTACGAGTAAAGAGAGGGCGATTAGATCGGTATGGATCAATAAAACCCTATTACTTAAAATAGCCTTTAAATTTTGTAAATAATTTGTAAACTTATCTATTATCTAGAGATTTTTTTAAACTGTACCGCCATTAGCTAAATTAAACCGGCTTTGTTTAATAAAACTTTAACTGAACTACTAATCTCATAATATGTGGGCGTTATCATTAAAGAAGTCCAAGTAAAATCAAGACTAAGTTTTGAAATGCTTGAAGCTATTCTCTATTATAAGAGAAAGACCTGTACTTAACCTTACCAATAATCTTCAAGTGTATCCTTTATTAGCTATTGTATTTTAAACATTGCTTCGAACATAGTACCGTTTTTAGTTCCATGTGAATGATTTTTTTATGAAGTTCAAATACACACAAAAATGACTAATCGCACAAATTTATTATAATGACTACATGATTATCATAACTCACTCTATAGTTAAAATATTTATAATGTTATCATAATAAAATATATTTACCGCACACACTATTTTACATCAATGACATTTTACAAAAATGTTTGAAGTCACATATTTTTAGTATATTATATAACATACAAAATACAAAAAATGTGTAAACGATAGTTATGTTGATTAAGTATTATGAGATCAATGGTACCGATTATTTCTTTGATAAAATATTATTAATCTTAACGCACAAGAATACAACTCAGCGATTTTTTAACTATATTAAACAGGATAAATTAAGAGTATTTTTAATTTAGAAATTAACGAAAATGAAAGTTACCAATAGTAAAATGAAGTTTTACCTAATTTTTCACTCAAATATAATTAGTGAGATGTCCTAGGTAAGGGCTACGGTCACCACCTCTCATCTAACACTGACTGATTATTCGGAGAGTAAAAGAAAAATTTTTAAAAATATCGCTTCTCTCTTGATAAATCCCTACAGACTGTTTAATTCCAATATAATTACTTGAGCATAGCACTATTTTAAGAAAGGAAAGTTTTAAAATTTAATTTACCTAAAAAAATTAAATAATTAATTTTGTTTTCAATATTCATTTGTATAACAACATTTATTTATTTTGATTTCGAGTTTAGCCACACCTTAAACATAAATACAATTTGTATTATACGTAAAAATTATTAATCTGTAATAGATTAATAGTTAATAGTTAATGAACGTAATATCATTAACTGAACTACTAGAATTGAGCTTATTCCCTTTACCCCTTTTACGGTTACTTGTAATCTTGAAAAGTGAATTTTAAAAATACTGAACGTATTTTAATACTAAGGATCCATCCGACATTATTCATAAACTGTTCACAATAATTTTCAAATTCGTCACAGGCACGATTCGTTTGGTTTGGGTATAATACAAACTCTGTTATATTCTTTTCTACCCTTGTACTCTTAGAAATCACGGCAATCATATTTTTCATATCACATACAACGTATACACATTATAACACTTTATATATATTTAGTTATATTACACGTTGAAACTATAAATATGTTAACGATTGCTATAATGGACAAATAGGTTGGAATTTATCTATATTTTCCGAAGTTCCGACATTTTCGCATTTAACAATGTACCTTACACATTTATAAATGTGAAACTGCACTTAATTTATATTCAAACAAATGAGAAATATCTGAGAATAATTGGATTTACTCCTTTTTTAATTCAACTTCAAAATTGTTTGGTTTTCCAAAATCGTTTAACTTTTGAAACAATAACTATTTTTTAATAATGTTTACGTTTTAAAACACAATAATAATATAAGTTACAATATTTTAGCTTTGAAGTTGAAAAGGTTTTGGTTTTGTCATGATGTGTTTCATATTTTTTGCCTATCCCAGAAACCTAAAAAATGAGCTAAGGATCTTCAACTTGTCTTTGTCCCAGAGAATATTTAAATAGGGTAAAGACTTAAAACATAATGTTTAGTTCTTGAATAATAATGTTCTGTATATAGACAACGTTATATTTATTATCTCAAAAGTTATTGAATTATTCTTTTTTTCTTTTTTTTTTTTAACTTCGATGCGAAGCTGAGTAGGTATTAGTTTTATGATGATGTGTTTCATGATTTTTGCCTGTCCATGACAATTTTCAGCGCTCAATGCTGATTTCATGTTAAAGTCCATATTAAAGTACCTGTCTAAGTGACTATAAAAACCATAAATATTCATAAAAAAAATTGTTTTCACGAAGACATGATAAAGTATTATAAATCATAATTATTGGTTTTAATACAATTTTTTATAATATCGGTATGAATTTTGGATTAAAAATATACTTAATATTGCATTTATCAGACAATATTTAATATTGAATTGAATAACGGGCTAGCAAAATTATTATTATTGAATTTTTATCAAACAAAATTTTACAAAAAAAAAACCCTACCATCTAAGCATATTAATTATTTCTATTGTTAATTTAAATTAATGAGTAAGAAAAACAAATTTAAAATTGATAGTATTACAGCAATTTTAGTTTAGCATTTATCAATCTTTATCATTAATATGCTTCAGGAAAAAAATTAATCAGTGTACCTTAAACAATTTATGTGAATGAAAAAAAATTATCTAAACAAAGCAAGATGACATAAATAAATTGTTTAAAGAAAATACCAAAACTTTTGGTTACACACATGCAACGGTGAATAACGATAAGAAGTGACTTAGATTAACAATATTTAGTTTGATTAATAGTAAAACGTGAACCATGAGCCGAACAACAATCGTGTTCGAATGCGTGCGTGTCTATACTTATCTACTATGAAAAAAACTATGTTTAATTGTAAATTAATTTAACAAAAAATTCCAATATTTTTTTTTCTTATTTAACGAAAAATTAATACAATTTCATCAATAAAGACGTTTATAATGGATTTATACACAGCGTGTACATTAAATCATCCTAAAGTTATCGAATTATTAAGGTAAAGTATTCTGGTATTCAAAATTGAATTACCTCTGATTTCCAACGCATTACATACATGATGCACAACAACAAAAAACAAAAATCACAAATGATATATGATATATGTTAATTTTTCAAGAATGCAAAAAAAACATAATTTTTTTTACTGAGATCTTATTATTTCACAAATAATTAAAATATTAAGTACAGCGGGATCCAGCATAACGAAGTTATGGCATTTTTTTAGTATAATATTGATTGGTACAATATATCAATCAATACAGACGACAATACATTTATCGTAAAACACTTGGATACAAACAAATTTTGTTTGTAAAAAAAAAAAACATTCATTATATTTATCAAAAATTACATGATTTTTGACTTAAGAGGCCGATTACTCATAAAAACATGCCATCGGGACGTTTTCTGTAAATCATATATATTGAATTAAACAAGCTATTATTTGAAATAATTTCGAATGATGATGTAAGTATGCCGTTACTATGCAAAAAATTATAATATTAGTCATTTTTACCGAAAAATGTAAGATTTTTGTACTAATTAGCCAATAATTCATAAACATTAAATTTCGATTATATTTTCTTTTTTAACTAAAAAGACATTATTATTATATTAGTTATAATTTAATGTAGGTTTTAAGACGTCAGGTTTTCAATCAAAATTTGAAAAGAAAAAAATATTGATATGTTTTTTAAACCCATGCAATGTGCATGGGTTTAATGTAATGGATTTAAAAATGTACGTCGTCGGCAAGGCAAATATTTGAAGTATTATCAATAAAAATTTCGTAATAATCCATCCTNATTTAATGTAGGTTTTAAGACGTCAGGTTTTCAATCAAAATTTGAAAAGAAAAAAATATTGATATGTTTTTTAAACCCATGCACATTAATGGATTTAAAAATGTACGTCGTCGGCAAGGCAAATATTTGAAGTATTATCAATAAAAATTTCGTAATAATCCATCCAGTTTTTAAAAAGTTATATCAATATAAAGTAAAAACTAAAAGTATCATCATTAACTCTCTTATAATAACTATAATTTTTTGAGACATTCCTCTTAATTACGGAGATACAATTGAATATTCCAAAATGATGACAAATAACTCAGTAAATTAGTATATAATAACTCTACCCCTCAAAAATTTTAATTTATAGCTATGGTTATCATGACTAAGATCGCGCAATTTTTCCAATTAATCTAAAATAAGAATTAATTTATTCGATTATTCCATTAATTTTTCAATAAAAAATATATCAATTCTATTTAATAAATGGTTGTATGGATTAATTCTATGAAATCTCGGTTATTAATATTCTGTTTTTAACGTGAAATTAACTCCTTTTGGAGATATAAAAAGTAAATCATCGAATTTCATTTAAATTTTCAATCATTTTATAAGAATTATAGTATTTTAATTTATGAAATAGAATTTAGTTCATAAATTAGTAACTATAGTTATGTGGTATTTCCTTATCGAAATCATCGAATAATCAATAGTTCGATTAATTCATAATTTGATTCAATCGATCTTGAAACCCGTTTTTTCTAAAAATAAAACATAATGGATTAACTATAATAATCCATTTTTTTCATAACCGATATTCGAGCCGAAAAAATAATCGCATAAGTCTACTTGATACCAAAATAACTACGAGCTTTTAAATAATAGTAACCCATAATTGAGAAACCGATTGCAATAATAGCTTATACCACAGAACAGTAAAGGGCGTATTATAACGTTTTAATTTTTTTATTTAAAATACATAAAAAAGCAATATTATTAAAAAATTTAAGAATTAGTAATTGTTAAATATTAACATATCTAAAGGATATCGATTTAAAAATATAACTGTGTTGCATTTAAATATTACTACTTCTATACAAGATTGTATTATGATCTCAATTTATACATTCGGTGGGTTTAACTACTATTGTCCTAAACCCTTTAATTGTCTAGTTGAGAACGATTGAGTAGTCTAACCATTTCTCCAACATGCTTCTGAAATTGTAACTTTCCAAATTATTTTAAATAATATTTTCTGATGTTGTGTATTTTATTAATTAGCGGTAATTTGAACACTGCTAACAAAAAAGGATGGACTTACTTAATGTACGCGTGTTATTATGGAAATGAAATGCTAGTTGATCGTATAGTGAACGCAGATCCATCTACATTATATGCTATAAACAAAGATAAACAAACACCTTTGATGATAGCTGTCATGTCCGGAAATACAACCATTGTCGAAAAAACATTTCATGTACGTACAAAAAAATTTTATTAGTATTACTTATTTAGTATAAGTTGTACCATTATTTTGTTTGTCATAAACAAATTTAATTTAATAATTGGATTATCGCCTGATTTTACTAGCCTCTATTCCCCAGTTTTCCCTTAAAATAATCTTTTGAAATTTTAATTATATATTACGCTCTAGTAGATTAGAACAGTGTAAAAAATTTAATCTTTAATGTTCAGTAATTTCAAAATGCAAGAATTAAAAAGTTTTTGGCTAATTTTTACCGACTAACTCATCATCAAAATTATAAAACTACTTCCCGCATAACTAGAAACGTGAAATTTGTCACAAAAGTAGGTCTTATAGTATAAGTAAAGGAAAAATTGTTATCAATTTTCTCAAAATAAACAGTCTTACAGGCAAGAACTTCAATATAATCCGTTACACAAAATTTATTTAAAACGTTTCATCTATAGACAAAATAAGGTTAAATAATTAGAACAAAATAAATTTGTCATATTAAAACCTGTGTTTTTAAAACTATCTGTGAAATTTCATCACTTGTTTTTAAATATTATAGGACGTCAAAAAATGTAATGATATGTGACATCTAACTCGGTCTTTTCTATATAATTACAAATGAAAGCAAAAAATGTGACTTTTAAAGCCGTAGTTATAAAATTGTATACCCTGCTAAGATAATCGCACAGCAAAAATTTTTTTGGAGGAATATTTTTAAACTATAGACTAAATAAACTCTGTCATAAGATTAGTATGCTAACCAGGGGTGTTCTGAGTAAGGGTAATTTTTATTGCCCCTATAATTAGTAATTTTTTCACTCCAATTTTTAGTTTTAGACGACCTTGATACAAATTATTAGTCAAAGAAAAATCAAGTAAACTATATTAAGATAAAAGTTAAAATAAGATGTAAATATTTGGTATACATGCTATATTATATATATAATATAACTGGAATTGTATTTCCTTTCTAAAAAAATTACCATTTATACGGACAGCAAACAATAATACTATTTTTAAAATAGTATTGTTTGATGAAACAAAATAATAGTTTTTCTAAATAACAAAATTTGTAGTTTTAAAGTATACTTGTTTAAATTTTTATTTATGTAAAATAGAAAGATATTATGGAAAAGCCTGACAAATTAGGAAGAACGGCCATGTTCTATGCTGTATTATATAATCAAGAAGAAATATTGGAATATTTTATTGAAAATGAATCTAATTGTGACGTTATGTAAGTGAACATAAGTGTAATTCAATTCAATCTATTAGCAACGAAATGACAACCCAATTTTTTTCTTTTTAAGGAAAAAGAGATATTTTCCTTCTTAAATTACAAAATAATGTTTTTATTTTCATTAACTATTATTTTTACGTAGAACAAAAGTTCATTAAAGAATAGTTAATAATAATATTTTAGAAAATAATATGAATTGATGTTTATTTGTTATTTTTTTTAGAGATAATTTTGGAAAAACCATGACTATGACAGCAATATCCAAAGGATTTCGGAGAGTAATGATATTATTGTCTGAGTATTGTAACAAACGAGGATGTGACATAAAAACTGAAAATAAAAAAGATTATTTAAAGTTTTTTGACCAAAATCAAAAAATAAAAACAAATAACTGTTTGGGTAACATTTTTTAAACAGATCATTAAATAGATAACTATAATTTTAACTATAATATCAATCATAATTTTCGGTTTAGACGAAACTTACTTAATGTATCCCTTGAAGATATTTATGGTAGGGGTCATTTTATTAATTGATCATTCCATAGTACACACGCTTGACTTAATAGTACAAGTCAACTAAGAAGTGCTAATGAATTTTTCAGGTATCGACATTTCAAATTTTCCGTGAAACTGACAGAAATCTAACTTATTTTGATTTTAGTTATCTATCTTATTTGGATGGTTTGTCCATCTATTCGTTTTATTATATAACTATTACCATAACTATGAGAGTATAGTACCGGTCACAATCGGACATGGTTTAACCCCATAGAATTAAAGCATTATACTAAATGGTTCTAATCCTTTTAATCAAATGTATTTTGATTTGCTATCGGATTAATTTTTATTTACATTCAGTAAAAAAAGTTTGATAATAATTTTTCAAGAATTTGGTTAGAGCGTAACGTGGTAAAATTTGAATGAGCGGCAATTGGTATAGTAAATAAGCGGTCCCACATATTCCAAAAGTTATATAACTTTTGAGTCAATGATTAATTTACATTACTTTTTAAGAATGATTTTTACGATTTATGACTACAATAATAATAGAATTTATAATATTTTTTTTAATTTATATAAAAAAATAATTTAATTTAAAAAATCAGTTTAAAAGACCCAGCACAGGGGGGTCGCGGCACAATGGTCACGTGGCATAGTTGAATCAAGTATAATGATATTAAACAGTGATTAAAATCACTATAAAAAAAAAACGTTTCCATGCAAATCTTTAGATAGTGTTTACTTTTAAAACATTGGTGGATTATTTGAAAAGCTACATGATCTGCTATTTCCTTATTAATATCTTGATTAAGATAAAGTATGTCGAATGAAAAAGGGATATAAATATTATTACTCATAAAAAAATTGTGTTGATCCATACACTTTTCAATAAATTATAGCATTATAAAGTTAAAAATGTAAAATATAAAATTGAGAATTTTCACACAAAAATAGCATTTAGTAACTAATATAAATATATTAGTATTTAATATATTAAATACTAAAACAAAATAAATTCCGAAATTTTTTTTTTTATAATAAACTATATTGCATTAGCTTTAATTTAAGATATATATAAAAGTGTCAGACTTTCCGGAACACTTTCAAAAGTTAATTTTTTGTGAAAAAGTTGTGATTTTAAATCCCTTCTGTGAGCAGGTAAATGGTCAAATTTATAAAAAAAATATATCAAATAATAGATAAAGACATCAAGCATCTATGAAAAAATAAATTTTATTGATTTGTTCATTTTTAAGAAAGTTATATGGCAGTTTTAAGTAAAAAAAATTTCGTAAATTTCGAAAATTAGCGATTTTAACATTTGTAATTTTTTTGGAGGTTTCCCATTTACGGGGAATAAGGGGAATTTTTTCAATTTTTGAGTGTAATGTCTTCGACAAATACGATTTGTGATTGTTTGACGTATCGTTGAAAGAAATCGGTTCGGTGAGAGCTGAGAAAAAGTGGTAACAGACACAAAAAAAACCACATCATAGTAAAACCAATACCTTCTCAGCTTCGCATCGAAGCTAAAATATTGTTAATAATCAACATAAAAGTGTATTTTTAACCTAGAGCAAAAAAAAAATTTAGAAATACTAAATTTTAAAGGAATTGTACACTTGGATTATGTTTCTTATAAAATTGAGTTCGTCCACGTTCCCAGTTCTTTAATTTTTAAAGAAGTCGTCTAGCTGTCTACAAGTTTTCGTTGTTTGTCCAGTCGTTTTTCTTTGTCACTGAAAGTGTTTAACTTTTACTTATTCTCTCAACATTGTCATTGTCATATTGTTGACATTATTAAAATCAATCACTAGAGTTCTAATACTCCTTTGTGATGGGTGGTAAAACTTTATCCAGTTGAATCTCATAATTGTTTTACTCATTTACAAAATGTCATGTAAAATTAACTATAATTATTAAAATTCATTGTCTATCAGTCGCTAATATTCAATTTTTTCATATTTCTTGTTTATACTCAGACTTGTAATCATATACACTTAAATTTCTCTCGTCTTTTCAGAAACTAACTGGTTTCTCAATTTAAAAATCACATTAAACCTCACAAAATTGAATATCAGTTGTCAATATCCTATATTGTTCCTTACCTGACAAACATTATTGATAAACAATCATTGTTCCTATTGGTCCCTTACCATNCTGACAAACATTATTGATAAACAATTATTGTTCCTATTGGTCCCTTACCACGTAGTTTAGAAATATCTTGCACTTTTAGAAATCAAATAAATATTAACTACTTGATTGGTAGAAGTCATTTTTTTTTGAAACAAGTATATTTAAATTTTAGTTGTAAATAGCACAAATCTAAACATGTTATGTATTTAAGTTATAATTTGAGCATATTTAATTCATTATAAATTTAACTTTATGCATGTTTGTTGTTCAACTTACTTATAAGATTGTAAGTTCTTACTAATTGTATTAGTCTAATTTAATATAATTGAACTTTTAGTTGTATTGTTAGTTTTTAAAGAATATTTGATAATCATTTAAATTCATGCAACAACAAATTTTTGTTTTCTTAGTGATCAAATTCAACCTTTTTTACTTGTAATCGTAGAAATAAATTAATCTTGTTTTTAGTTATCTTTCTATCTAGCTGTTATCTATCAAATTTAACCTATATACAGTTCACTAAAACATACAAAATAATTTGGTCACTTCTCTAGTGCCAAATATTGATTTTATTTTTTAATAGTGATTACAATTGTTCAATTGAAATTATAGTTGACGTCAATCAAACAATTAAATTTAAACACTCAGTTAGTCTATCAGTTAATGTAGTGCGCCTATAATAGAGAAGATCTTTGAATTTTTTTAAGTTATTAAAATAAAATTCATTGGATAAACCAAAAAAATAAATAATTCTGAAAAAAAAAACAATTTTTTTAATTTATTTTAGTTTTTGATGTTTTGGTAATTTATTAAAATTTGGTAAATAAATTTAATAAATATTAAATTTGGCTTTTGGCATTTGATTTTATTCATCAGCTATGTAATCATTACACAGTTTTTGTACCAAGCCTTTTTTCTAGAGTCCTTATATTAATATATTTCTTTAATATAGTAGCCAAACGATAACTTGAACTTGAATATCCTTAATCAAAAACTCCTACTCCTATACGACTAGAATTTTATGAACGGAACGTTTTTTATCATGATTAACTAATTACTTATATAATTATAAGAGCAATCATAAATGTTTATTAATGAAACTATAAATGAAATTATTAGATTATCAATTAGAAAAACTTTTGAAACAGTTATCGTTGGAAAAATATTGGCCAATTTTTGACGAAAAAAATCTTAGTTATAATGATTTTTTAAAATTAACTGAAGAAGACCTTAAGAATATCGGAATTAAGTAAGTAATTTTAAAACAATTTTTAGTGTGGTTTTGTAATTTTGAAATTGACCAATTTTTCACTCAAAATCATAATTATAAATGGGAGGGGTAAACTTAAAATATTTAAATTAAAAAAATAAAATATTTTTTTTATAAAAAAAATTTCGTGCTAGAAACATTGCCAACAATATCATATCCATGTGACCATTAGATCTCAAATGAAATTAGATATAAAACACGCATTCTTATACAGAGTGAGTCACAAAGATATAACAATTTCCAAAAAGTGATCCAATAATAATTTTGGTATAATCGTTTTTACACAATTTTAAAATTTTTAGACCACGTTAAAAGCATATTTTTTATTATATGTCTAATAAGAAAAATTTTATTAATTAAAAAAAAAATGGAACATTTGAATTACAACAATGATACAATTTTAATATAGAAATGTATTTATGTAAAATCTACGATAAACAGTTATTATTTGTTTTAGTTTGTTTGGCCCCAGAAGAAAGTTAATTATGACTATTTATAAATTAAATGAATTAAGAACATCAGAAGAACATTCAAGAAGTTGATAACATTGTTTTTTTTATATATTTTAATGAATTATATGTTTTATAAATTTTACTTTTTTTAATTTTTATGTAACTTACTAAATTATTTATTATAAACAGACTACACATATGTGATAATAGAGATTGAGTCATATTTTTAAAAAACTTATTTTTACAAAATTATTATAACTTAGTATTGATCTATAATAATAAATAAAGATATTTATCATAAAATATAAATGTTTGTCAAATTCAATTAAAAGTGTAATTTTACATAACAGTAAAATAAAAAATTATCATCATATGAAATTATTATCATTATGTTCATCAATATATACTATTTATAAACATTAATGTGTCATAATGATCAAATATTGAGATTCAGCACCTAAAAAGTTGAAAATTGATATTTTAATACTAGAGACTGATTAAAAGATAACATATGACATAATGCATAATACATCAATATTTTTAAAAAACTTACTTATTATCAATATAACTTATGTTAGATATCTAGGAGTCTCTTAAAAACAGCCTTTTACATTTTTTTTCATTAAAAAAACACCTTTTTTATTTATTTTCTTAATTTGCAGAGCCATTTAAAGTGTGAAACCTAGTATAGGGTCACTATAGTATACCCTTATATAAACACTAATTATATCAGTAACCTTAAAAAAATTTGACTCAAATTATTTTTGGGAATAAAAAAACAGTAAAAAATAGATATTCAAAAAAATACCTAATCGTTCATTTTTAATCTAAAACCAACACTTAAATCTATAAAAGTAAAATATTGTAAAAAATACTTCTATGTCTTATTCAATATTAAATAATTATATAATTCTTATAATAGTCTTTAAATTAAAGTAAAGTCAATTAGATGCCATGACTCAATTTATCTTATAAAATTGTTTTTCAGATTTTTCATTAAAAAACTAAAGAATACTAATTTAAAACAAATTTAATGTTAATTTAACAAAATCATAATAATTTAATTATCAAATAATTATTATAAAATTTTCAACTAATAATAAATAAAAATTATAAAATCTAAATAAAAAATTTTAAAGCAATAATGCATAGGTCAATTATTATTTTTAATAAAACTTAATAAAAAAATAAGTTAATGTTAAAACTGAATATTTTACAGATTACTGACATAAAACAAATTAAAAATAATTTTTTTCTTAAGATTACAACAATAAAATTAACTTATTTATGTAATTAATTATTTTATTAAAAAATAATATACATTTTAAATAAATAAATTAAGTAGAAAAATTTAAAACAATTTATGCAATAATGGGCAATTGAGCAAAAAATAATTATTGATTATCTTCTAGTTTTCGCCAAACCACCTGAAAAATTAATATATGATTAAATTAATGATTTTTATGATTTAAAAATTTGTTTACATTGCACATTTCTCTTAGTAATGCTTTTTCTTCATCTTCCATATCTATACCATTGTTATTATCTTCTCCTTTTCCCTCCAATTGTTCACGTAATTCTAAAACTTGCAAGGCTGTCATTACTGATTCCGGATGTGTCATCTTCTAAATTTTAGGGTATGTAATTTAATAATCAAATAATAATTTTGATTATATAGGGTAACAAGCTATGTCACATCTAACATCTTCATAAGTATAAGATAAAATATAAATTTTTCTTTTCATAAGCTATTAGTATCCTTTACCACAACACTAAAAAATTTACAATGTAAAAGCACATATACCCTTTAAAATAATAGTTTAAAAATTGTTATACACCAGTTATTTTTTAGTTAGACCATTCTCTTAGTATTAAACTAGTTAAACATGGATGTTTATGATTAAAAACCTAAACATGATATAGTGTAATATGAAAGAACTGTATTTTTTTGTATTATTACAGTGGGGAGTATACTAATAACTTCTGAAAAGAAATTATTATAATTTATCAAACACTTTTGGATATATTGCATGAAACAGCCAGTGATCCCACTGTGTAAATAAAATATATATATGAATATCATATACCAAATTAATACAAATCAGCCCACATTTAAATAAACTCATTATTAAAAACTATGTATAATCCAATACCATTGAAATAAAATGGTATTATGATTTGAAGATTAATAAATTCTAATAAATACAAATGGAAATTCAAGTTTATTTTTAAATTGTAAAATATTTAACATTTAATTTTTTGTTAAAAATTTCATAATTCTTCTATCAAATTTTCCTAGTAAACATCATATATGTATAAATATTTATATATAGATAAAGGGAAGAACAGATCTAACTGATAACTTTTGATACAATTAAAATTTTGTTTTATTTATTTTTATCAATAACTTATAGGTGGGTACAGCTAGTACTTATAATAGCTACAATGCATACTCCACATGCATTACATAACAACATTATGTCTTAAAATACTTGTTATTGACCCATTGATAATTTTTGTATGAAAAATGCTAAAATATGGCTAATTTTAAATTAAAAAAAAATTTCAAATCAACAAAAATTAAGTTTTTTTTTATTCTTAAAAACATATTATGAAGAATATGATTTTAACATAGTCGAAGTGTACATAAATTATTTAAAAAATATACAATGCTCAGTAAGTAAGGAAACAAGTCATTGTAACAAACAAGTAGAACAATAGAAACTTGTTTCCTTACTTACTAAACACTCTATATATTACAACAAAATGTTAATTGCATCAAAAATTATAGGAGTTGTCAGTTAGTATCAATACAATACAAACATATTTCTGAAAATAAACTTTTGAGATAATCTTGTTTGCACTTAAAATAATACTCATATAACTTATAATAGATAGAATTTGCATAATTATAGAACAATAAATTGAATTTAACTATAACTAAATGCCAAACAAATTTTTTATATAGCTGATTGTATTTCTTTAAATTTACTAAAATATGAACATAGTAAAACAATTTATGTACTTATTAACCTGAAATGAATTTTCTAAATTCCAATTGTTCTGTTTTTTATCATTATTTTTTTCATCCTGGTTCAATTTCTTTGACAAATTATTTTTTTCTTCTAATTCCTTAATTTTAGCTTCTAATTGTCGTATATAGCTTAGTGATCTTTGATCAAGTTGTGTGTTTTCATCTAAAATGAAATATTTGAAAAATAATATTAAGTGAAACTTTTGATTTACTTTATTTAACAATACCATTTGATTGTTGCATCTGACGCTGTAAAGAAATTTGATTAGCAGCAATTAAATTTTCATCAGCATTTGTAGAGGAGCTACTACCATCCCCCTCATCTCTTCTATGCAATTCTTCTGTAACATTTCCAGAAACTATAGAATTACCACAAATTCTACATGTTGCATTATATCTCATTTGATTAGGACCAGAGCGTTCTTCATCCAAATATAAACATAGTTCCTAAGAAAAGAAAATTAATAATTACTATAAATTATAGTAATGTATAACTTACTTTAAGTTCCATATTATCCTCAATAAGATGTTGTTGTTTGGCTTCAAGATGTCTTAATTTAACTTGATAAGCTGCAACTTCTTGTCTCATCACAGATGCAGTATATCTACCAAAACGCTGCCACTCTCTAGCAAGCTTACGTCCTTTTTGTCTGTCATCATCTAAAAAACAACATAAGTCTCGAAGTTCTTGGTTTTCATCGTTTAGTCGCTGATTCATATCTTTGAGGTTATTAATTTCAATCATCAATTGATTTATCTAAAATATATTAATGTAAAACATGATATTACATCAGTATCATAAATAAAATTACAGAAACGTATAATTAATTAAAATCAAATAATGGTTATATATATTTTTGGTCAAAATTATAAGATACCACCAAATTTTATATCTCACGCGTTTAGATATTGGGCTTGTACGCAATCGTAAACATTTAAATTATCAAGTAAATGCATGAAACTTTTTCCATTATATATGTTCATAAACATAAAGAAAAATGATTATTTTGCATTAGTTTCATTTGCAATTTAATGATTATTTATATTTTCATTAAAAATGTTATTTTTGCAAATACAGCAAATTTAGTCATTAAATCATTTTAAAGATTTTCTAAAATAATTATACTTACATCCAGCTGCATAATTTTTTTTTTTTACATGTTATGTGAATAAATAAGTTTGATGAAAAAAATTTTCAAGTCGATCCAGTTAAAATTATTTAAATCACAGACATACATACGAATTTTTAAATAATGAAAAATTGGCGATTTTTAGGTTTTTTTGGCTTATGAACACATATAATAAAAAAATTTTCATGCATTTACTTGATAATTTAAATGATTACGATAGCGTATAAGTCCAAAATCTAAACACATGAGATATAAAATTTGATGGTGTCTTATAATTTTGACCACTACTGTAATATAAATTTCAAAAATAGTTTCATTAATTAAAAAGTTAGACTTGTGATAGTTTAATTATAATATGGTTTAATAAAATGTAGTTTATCAAAAAATAACTAATTAACATCTGTTTACAAGTATTTAATATAACTATTGCTGTTTAGCAATATTTGATAATGGATTCATTTAATTGTGAAATGAATACTAATATTTAGCAATCCCTTTATTCAATAAATAATTTTAATAAGTAAAACTTACTTGTTCTGAGGAAATTTTGTTAGAGTTTTCAGAGTCAAGTTTTCGTACAAATTTTAACATATCTGATGATTGTTCTCCAGATAATGTTCTATATCTTTGATTTTCAGTATTGCTTACATATGGCTTTTCACCATTATGCCTCCTACAAATTTTAAATTTTCCAAAAATATACAATGTATCGCAAGGTTTTGATAAATATATACATTTTTGTATGTTGATTTGTCAAAACCTTGTAGAACACTATAAATGTATAGTAAATAATAACTCATATTTATTACCTATCAGAGTTACTTGTGTTGTAATCATTCAATTGAACATTATATTGGCGATTAGGACTTGGAGGTGGTTGATACTTAGGCGGAATTATAACATTTGGTTTTTGATTAACTGAAGGGATTTGGCTGTTCAAATTTTTCGGCAAACCACTGACACAAGACATGTTATCACATCTATGGATAATCATAAATATGTTATATACAAACAATGCAAATAAATAGAGTACCAAAAAATATAGAACATATAAATTTATATATATATGTGTGTTATAATAATAATATATAAACACACAAATACAAATTATTTACTAAATGTTTTCTGGAGTAAATTAAGATTTATGATGAGTACAATAAATATAAATATATATAATTTATAGATAAAAAACTGTTAAATGAAAATCTTATCCTGATACCTTAGATCCATTTTAAAATAATGTACTAGAAATATTGTTTTTAAACAATTTTTTTTAATAAAAAGAATTATTTCTTAAATAATTGAGATACAATTTCATTTATGATAAATTGAGCAAAAAGACGGGTTAATAAAGAAAAACAATACAATTAAAAAAGTTACTTACAGTTTTTTAAAACGTTATATTGTTATGACTATCATAGTTCAACTTGAATTCTTGTCGTTTTCGACGTTAGGTTAAAATAAGCTCTTTTTGCAGCTTGCTTTCTAGAAGGGAAAGGTATAGAAAAAAATCGAAATATTACGTTGAAGACTAATCTAAAGAAGTAAATCTGTAAACGAAAAGTGATAGCTGATAGCAACCTGTTTACTAAGTATACGGGTCAACTGCTAGCATCTGCACTCCTTATATATATATTATAATATTCAGTACATTCGTAGATAACCATAAACTTGTTGCATTAGACGTGGTTGAAGTCTCTCAAATTTATATCAACAGTGATACCTATTGTCATTCTAACTTCTCTTACCGCCCTTTACATGTAAAATCTTGATACATAATACATAGAATATAATAATGATTTTTATATCTTTTAGTATTAATTCAAATTTGTCAGTTTATATAATCTTTTTATGTTAAGCAGATAGAACATCTCTTATTAATAACATAATATTTTAGTTTATCGTTTTTTGAGTGACATACATAATAATTTCGTTATAATTCGGTGTTCTGTAGCGAATTGTTCAAAAAATGAATACAAACAATAATTTTAACAATATTTTTTTTTATAATAACTTAAATTTCTAATCTGTTCATGTCAAGATATTAAAAATTTATTTCTTTTCTGATTAACAAGCATTTTTTTAATAGAATGATTATTCTGTATTAAAGTATAAATAATTAGTAGTAATTATTTGTTACTATAAATAGGGAAATAATAAATTTAATTTTTGTAACTTTGGCTTGCGACCGTTCATCGGTCAATATCAATTGGATATCTTCAATTATTCAACACACGTCACACAAGTTTATTCATTATTATGAGACACAGTTGTCAACACTGGAAAAATCACATGTACTTCTAAAGAAATGTTTTGTTTTCTAGAATCAGTGTTTCAGCGTTATACTGGTCAGCTTCATGCACATGCATAATGGACACCGCTAATAATAATTTAGTTAATTGTGATGAATATTGCTCATTATTTGTTACTTAACTATAGTATTTAGTTGTAGCGCGTTTTTATTATTAATATTCTAAATATATAGAAAGATAGTATTGTTTGTAATTTAGCTTTTATAAGTTTTATTTGTAATTTTAATACGTTTTTAGTAGTTTGTTTATAGTTCATAGATTTTAAATTATGGCAGAAGAAGATTGGGGGCAATGGGATACACAAACTGAACCAACTTACTATCCAAAAATGACTTATAGAAACTCAAATAATTCACATAAAAATCCTGATGATGAATTCATTGAAATTGAGTCGCGTTTAGCTGGTATTATTATTGGTAAAGGTGGTTCTAAAATCAAAAGTATTCAAAGAGAGAGTGAAGCTCATGTGAACATCATAGATAGTGATACCTATGGTTTAAAGACTGTGAAAATTTCAGGTAATGCAAGTGCTAAAGAGCGAGCCAGACAAATTATAAATAATATAATTGATGAAAATGACCCTGATAAAATACGCCAAAAAATTCAACAAGAATCTACTGCTTATGAATCCACCATTAAACCAATATCTGACAATGATTGGGAACAGTTAATGAAAGAACAAGAGGAATATCAAAAAAAAAAATTGGCTGCTCTTCCTCCAATTGTAAAACATGTTTATAAAGAACATCAAGAAGTTACTGCAATGAGTGATGAAGAAATTGAAGCATTCAGATTTTCTAAAAATAATATAATGGTTAAACATGTAAATGAAGACAACAATGAACCAATTCCAAAACCAATAGTGCATTTTTATCATGCATTTAAAGATTATCCTGAAATATTGGAGGAAATTAAAAAACAGAACTTTGAAACTCCTTCACCGGTTCAGTGTCAAGCATGGCCAATAATTATGAATGGTCATGATTTAATTGCAATTGCTCAAACTGGTACTGGTAAAACATTAGCATTTTTACTTCCAGCATTTATTCATTTAGAGCGTCAAGCTATTCCTCGTGATAAACGTAAAGGACCATCAATTTTGGTCTTAGCTCCTACTAGAGAGTTAGTTTTACAAATTGAAAATGAAGTAAAAGCTAATTAAATTCAATTTTTTTGTCGTAAGGCTAATTTTTTATTTATTTATTTAGGTTAATAAATATTCTTATAAAGGTATAAGAGCTATGAGTATTTATGGTGGTGCGAGTTCAGGAAAACAGAAGGAATGCATACGACAGGGAGTAGAAATAGTTATTGCTACTCCAGGTCGTCTTAATGATTTTGTTGGCAGTAATTCTATTGACCTTACTGATGTAACTTTTATCATATTAGATGAAGCTGATCGTATGTTAGATCTTGGATTTGAGCCACAAATTCGAGTTTCATTACTTCCAGTTCGGCCAGATAGACAGACAATTATGACTAGTGCAACTTGGCCACCAGGTGTTAAACGTCTTGCAAAAAGTTATACAACTAATCCAATTCAAGTAATGGTTGGATCATTAGATTTAACAACAGTCAACACAGTTAAACAAGAAATTCTTTTTATGGAAGATGAAGAAAAAGAATTGTGGTTAGATGACTTTTTGAAAAATATTAATGAAGATGATAAAGTATGCTTTTTTATTTTGTTATTTAAACTTAAAACATTAAATGTATACTTCTTCTTTTCAGGTAATAATATTTGTCAACAAAAAGGTTACTGTAGATCAACTATCTGCAGACTTATGTATGAAAAACTATAATGTTGAATCAATTCATGGTGGACGTGAGCAATGTGATCGTGAAATGGCTTTAGAAAGTATGCGTGATGGTAGTGTTTCTATTCTAATTGCTACTGATGTAGCATCACGTGGTATCGATATTCATGATATTACTGTTGTGATTAATTATGACTTTACTAAAGATATTGAAGAATATGTACATAGAGTAGGTCGTACAGGCCGAGCTGGTAAAACTGGTCTTGCAATAACATTAATGTCAAGAAGAGATTGGAGTAAAGCTAAAGAGCTCATTGAAGTGATGGAGAAATCTGGGCAGGATGTACCTCCTGAACTTCATGATATGGCAAAACGATTTGAAGCTAAAAAAGAAAGAGAAAGAGCTGAAGGAGGTGATAGACCATTTAGAGGAAGAGGACGTGGAGGAGGAAGGGGATATTCTTCTTATGGAGGTGGTTTCAGAGGAAATAATAGGAATAATTGGTAAACAATTTTGTTATTTGTTTGTAATTAATATTTTTGTATTCCTAAGTATACATTGTTAAAACTTGTACGATAATGTATGTTATATTCATTGTCTTATTAAATTTTTTTTTATATTATTATAAGTTATTAATTCTGTTATGCATCATAAGATTTAATCTTAATTTTAATTAATTTAAAGACTTGATACTTTGTTGATATTTGTTCATAATATATATTATTCATTATATTATAAAAAATCATAAGTAAAAGATAATTTGATGACATTTTGCAAATAAACTATAAATCAGAAACTATAAATTTTATATTTTTAGTGTTTGTTAATATTTATATTAAATACTCTTAATTGGATAAAAATTGTTGACTCAATTTAACGATTTTTATTATAAATAAAAGAAAAAAGGTTTATTGTATCATGTGGCATTCCAATTTTACAGGATTAAATATTTGACTTATAAACGAGGCTTTGAATTTAATACATAAAAACTAATTTAATATGCAAAACTTATTAACAATAAGTTATGCATATCTAATTTATATTTGAACACTAGAAAATTATTGTTTTTTTAATTTACCTTAAATTTATTGGTGGGTGAAAAACTGGGTGATAATTATCTGATTAAATTATTGACTTCGGTATTTTATTTAATATTTTTTATTAGAATTACTATGAATATTATACTAGAAATTTGATTCATTATGTTTAAAAAAAAAACATTTTTGTTTTTTTTAAAATAAATAACTTCTAAATGTTAGCTTAGCTTTTTTACTTTTGTATGCTATTTTAAATAACTTTATAAAAAAAGCATATTACTTGGTCAGATAATATAAACAAGCTAATAGTACTGTGACTACTATTAAGCTGGCGACATTGAATAGTGATACTACCCTCCCATCACAAAAGTTTAAAAAGTTGAGCTCCCTCTTCCCTGTAGTTGACATTATAATTTCATACTAAAAACTTAATTAATTAAGGAAATTACTTTTAAAACTTTTAAACTATTATTTTAAGTTGTTTATATTTTAAAATATAAGCCCTGAACAAGATGTGGGTTAATTTTTATCATTATGTCTTTCTCAACTATTCTTCTATACATGTATAAAAAATATTCATATCTCCTTAAAAAAAAATAGACAAAAAACCATCAAATCATAAATCATCAAACGGTTTATTAACAAAAGTAAATTATATAATTTAAAAAAAATTAAATACTATTAGAAAAATAATTTTAGTAAAATATATTTTTATAATTTTAGGAAAACATAAAAAATTTGGTTCATTAACAAAAACTAAAATCTTGTTAATTCTAAAATCTATTTTAAATTTTACACTAATCTTTTTCTAAAAGCAATACGACTACGTTCTTCTTCGTCATCACTTCCATAAGCTGATGATATATTTGATACTGCTCCTCGCCAAGATGTAGCTTGCATAAGTTCTTGATCTGGTTCAGTTCGATTTTCATATAACATTAAATTCAAGCATTCTTCATAAATTCTTGCTTCTGGAAAATCAACCTATAAATAATTGGAAAGTCATGAAGCAAGAGATATAAAATATTTTTATCTTTTTTAAAGTAATAAAGAAATTTAATTTTAGAAATGGTTATGTTGTGTTAGCTGATATATTATAGAAAAACTGTAAGATTTGATTATACAGGGTGTAAATCTTTCGAACCATAGTAATATAGGGGCGAGTATCCTGGTAAAGTGTAAAATAGGACCTCGTTTTTTTTTTTTTTTCAAAATTGGAGGAATTTTAAAATAATTCCCCCGAATTTCTCTAAAATTAAAAATAAATCATACCACAATATTTCCCTCGAAATTCTCATATAAATTGAGTGGCCACTCAATTTTTTGTAACTTTTGCGCCCTCCCTTGAACTTTGGGTTCAAAGTTGGGAAAAAATTTCACATTAGTATGACCCATCAATTTATATTAAAATTTTACTGGGAGTCCTGTGATGTAGTTTATTTTTAGTTTAAACGATTAAATAACAAGAAAAACCGAAAAAACCCACAAATAATGTGATATTTATGCATTTTTATTGCATAAAAAAAGAAGCTATATTTAAAAGTTATCTAATTTTATGTGCAACTTAATTAGTGACTATTCAATAGTGAACAGTATTTTTCGAAGATTTAAATAAACATTAGCAAGCTCAGTGATGTACCATATTCTCATTATTGATTAATTTCGGGAAAGAGTAGTGTGCCGATTACATTAAAATAATTATTTCTAATTATCCTATTGTAATAAAGTTTAAAATGTTCATTTCAATATTATGATTGTTTTATTTTCCCGATCTAAAAAGAAAAAAATTTATAATTTTTAACAGTTTCAATGATAAAAATTATAATCGGTTTGAATAAATAATAAAAGACGAAATAAACTAGTGAAATTAAAAAAATATCACATTATTTGTGGGTTTTTTTCGGTTTTTCTTGTTATTTAATCGTTTAAATTAAAAATAAACTACATCACAGGACTCCCAGTAAAATTTTAATACAAATTGATGGGTCATACTAATGTGAAATTTTTTCCCAACTTTGAACCCAAAGTTTAAGGGAGGGCGCAAATGTTACAAAAAATTGAGTGGGCACTCAATTTATATGAGAATTTCGAGGGAAATATTGTGGTATGATTTATTTTTAATTTTAGAGAAATTCGGGGGAATTATTTTTAAATTCCTCCAATTTTGAAAAAAAAAAAAACGAGGTCCTATTTTACACTTTACCAGGATACTTGCCCATATATTACTATGGTTCGAAAGATTTACACCCTGTATATGTATTGTTAATACAGTAGAACTTTAATTACAAAATTAATTAGGATCATACCTAATTAAAATAACTGGATTTTTTTATTGTTAACCTAATAAATAAAAATTAAAAATAGGTTCTCTTTTCAACACAGAATTTAATTCAAAAAGTTCTTCTTATAAGAGAAATTTCTTTTAATTGTACTTAAACCATGTATTTTTTTGTTTTTAGAGTTAAATGAAACTCAACATTTAAAAACAAAGTTAATTTATTTATTATGCCCAATAGATAAACTTTAAAAGTTTTTAATAATCAATCAAGTAAAATATGTAATAAAAAATAGCAAAAATAATTCCATGAAATATAATTTATATAAGGAATGATTTTAGCTTCGATGCGAAGCTGAGAAGGTATTAATTTTACCATGATGTTTTTTTTTTTTTTTTTGTGTCTGTCACTACTTTTTCTCAGCTCTCACTGGACCGATTTCTTTTAACAATACGTCAAAAGATCACAAATTGTATCTAGTTGAAGACATTACCCTTAAAAATTTAAAAATTTTCCCTCGTTCCCCGCAAATGGGGGAAATATCCAAAAAAATTACAAATTTAAAAATCGACAAATTTTGTCATTTTTTTCACTTTTTTTTCTTAAAACTTCCATAACTTTTTCAAAAATCAACAAATCAACATAATTTTTTTTTAAACTAAAACCTTAGATATTTTCCTTTCATTTGATATAATTTTTTTGAAAATTTAACACTTAACCTGCTCATGGGGGGGGATTTAAAATTGCAACTTTTTTACAAAAACTAACTTTTTCAACTTAATTTTTGAAAATGTTCCGGAAATACTGCGTCCTTTAAACATATATCAAATTAAAGCTTATTTTATGTACTATAAAATGAAAAAAAAAAATTTGTCCCGACACTTTATCTTCTGCATGTAAACGGTTGCCGTAGTTAAAAAAACACTATTTTTGTGTTAAAATTTTCGATTTTCAATTTTTAATTTTCAACTTAAAAATGCTATAACTTTTCGAAAAATGCATGTATCAGCACAATTTTTTTTTTTCTAAATACATTATAAGTACATCTTCCATTTGACATACTTTTTATTAAAATTAGACAATTTCCCCTTATATAGGGGGGGTTCAAACTTTGAAACATTGTATAAAAAATAGAACTTTTTCAACTGAACTTTTGAAAATGTTCCGGAAATACTGCGTCCTTTAAACATATATCAAATTAAAGCTTTTTTTATGTACTATAAAATGAAAAAAAAAAATTTGTCCCGACACCTTATCTTCTATGTGCAAATGGCTGTCGAAATTATAAAAAAAATGTAATATTTGCGATAAAAATCACCTTTTATAACGATGTTTTTTGTACTTAAAACTGCCATAACTTTTTCAAATATTAACTAATCAAAATAATATTTCTTTATATTGAAACCTTAGGTAATTTTCTTTCATTTGATATCATTTTTTTTTGAAAATCTAACACTTATTCTGCTCACAGGGGGGATTTAAAATAGCAACTTTTTTACAAAAACTAACTTTTTCAACTTAATTTTTGAAAATGTTCCGGAAATACTGCGTCCTTTAAACATATATCAAATTAAAGCTTATTTTATGTACTACTAAATGAAAAAAAAAAATTTGTCCCGACGACCTATCTTCTATGCGCAAAAGGCTACCGTATTTAAAAATATGCTATTTTTTATTAAAATTCTAGGTTTTGTATTTTATTTTATTTTAAAATATTTTATTAGGGGAATAAACTGACTTTCATGAATATTATATAATTTCATTGACATAGAATAAAGTTCATAAGACATATGATATTATACTTATTAACATTTTTTACTTTTTTAAAGTCGAAAAAGTAATTTTTAAATTTGAGTTAGCTTAAATAGCCAATTTTATCATGCAACAAAAATCAACGAATAGTTGCCGAATGGGTAACACCTTGATCTTTAACGCCTAGGGTACGAGGTTCAAATCCGTTTGTGGCTTCTAAAATTTTGCATTTTTTTTTTGAGTTAGAATAGAATTTTCAAATCATTTGATATTTATCTCATTTAGATTCAATAATTTCAATAAATATAAAGGATCTTATCACTATAGTCTCCCCTCGTGAGAAGAAATTGATATTCATGTTAATATTATTTTACTATGTGGTTCTTTTTCTGGCTACGATTTATTTTGCCAACCCTCACTAGACCTACTTTTTTCAACGATACGTCAAATGATTCATTTAAGTTTATGATATTTAAGTTAATGATTAGTTTAAGTTATTACTCTTAAAAATCAAAAAAATATTCCTTATTCAAATAAAAAGTAGCTTAACTAGATTTGTCCATACAAACAATTAAAATCATTAATTTTTAATATTCTTAAATTATTTATTGTCGAATTAAATTTGATATGATAAAAGTATTCAACTACAAAAGTAAATAATTTTACTTTATAATTTATTAATTTTTTAACTCTATTTCTGTGTGCTACTACCAGTCTATAATATGCCAAATTTTTTAGTAATATTTTGCTATATAAATCATAAATTTAAAAAAAAAATGATTTTTAGTTTCACCTGAAGTTAACGATGGAGTTTTACAATTATAATTATATTTTTGATAATATGCTCAATTGAGTAAATCTTTTTAACTACTTTGGTTTGATTGGTTCATTTAATTAAAGTAAATTATTAAAATTAATTAAGTTCTGAATATTTCAATTGCAGAATTTTTTTAAACACCAAAAGTTATTAGGATATGATTACTATTCTTTCTATTTCAGTTATCTATTACGATAAAAATGTAAAAAAATCGAATTTTTCTGACAAATGTACTGTAATTAGTAATTATAAAATTTCCAGATTGCATATTAATCTTAAAAATTTCATTTTTTTCAATTTAATAATGTCAATTTCAAACTTGCAAGTTGAACTATAAGTTATGGTAACAAATTCATTTTTTAGCTTCGATGCGAAGCTGAGAAGGTATTTTTCATTAAAACTTTCACTTTAAAAGACAATAAAAAATAGGTTCAAAATGATTACCTTTAACATATTAAAAATCAAAATCAGTATTAATTTAATACAATTTTTTTTGTTCTTAATTATTTTTTTTTATATGTAAATACTTATTTTTTAATAATAAGTAATAATATTAAAACTTAGAAGTAATAGAAAAAGTTTAATTGCACATTTGAAAACATCACGAAAAGTTTATTTAGAAAAGTATATTTTTTTTCTGATGAAAGTTCCTTTTGTTTAGTGTATTTATTCATAAGTAACAAAATTTTTTTATTAAAAAGTATTGCATAAATTCCTTTAAATTTGTATACGCATTAAAAGTATATGAATATACAACTCCTTTTTATTTTTATAATATCTCCGTAAAAATTACAATATTATATTATTGAATACCACTTTCATACTCAATTTAATTACTGTAATTATTATGTATTCATATATTATAGTTATAAATCGGGGTAAAATTAAGGGAATAAGTGTTATTGTTGTTTTTGAAATAATCTACCAATTTCATTTTTTTCTATTTAATAATATTTATTTCAAACTTGCAAGTTGAGTTAAAAGTTATGGTAATAAATTCATTTTTTTTTTATTAAAACTTTCACTTTAAAGAACAAAAAGAAGTAGGTTCAAAATGATTACTTTTAACATATTAAAAATCAATAATAATTTGAAAATAATTAATTATAAAAATTATATAATATATAATTAAAATAATTACTAATCTGGATATAATTAAGGAAATAGGAGTTGATGTTGGGTTGGGTTGGTTACATTTTTAACTTTATAATGCTATAACTCATTGAAAAGTGTACGAATCAACACAATTTTTTTATGAGAAATAATATTTTTTAATAATCCCTTTTTCATTCGACATACTTTATCTTAATCAGGGTATTAATAAGAAACTAGCAGATAATGTAGCTTTTGTAATTATCCACCAATTTCTTAGAATTAAACACTATCTACTGATTTGCATCGAAGCGTTTCTTATGATAGTGATTTTAATCACTGTCAGATTAAATCTATACTGGACCCAACTATGCAACATCCCCACTATGCCGCGACCCCACTGTGCTGGGTTTTTTTTTTTTTAAATATTTTTAACTACATATTTCATTAATTAAATTTTAGAGTTATGATAAATGGATCATACTGTAAGATACACAATTAATATTGTAAAATAAAAAATAAAATATTTAATTATCTTATTCAATTTAGGTTTAATTTAATTCAATCAAACACATATTTTTTAGGCATAATTTGAAAAAAAAAATTTAATCTAACTTAATTCTTTCTTTAAAAATATTTCTTTGTAAATTTACAAATAATTTTCATCATTTTTGGAATGACTGCGACAGGATTAGGAACTAAGCCCTTTCTAGACCCGAAGATTGTACCGTTATAAACCTTTCATTTCTTTTTACTTTAAATGAAGTCTAATTATTATGAATATAGTTATATTAGTTATTACTCAGAGTTTAGTGTACAGGGACTTCTATATAACAGAATTGGATAGTATTAGATTCTGTCATCGGTATTTAATGAATACTGTTGGTATTTATGCACTGAAGCATGTGATATTTTCTGAGCTATATAAGACACTTAAATTAAATTTTTAATGTTAATACCTTTGTATGTTTTTTGTCTGTTGCATACACAATTGATGTACAACAAACCTCAGCTATTTTAGCAGCAAGACCAAAATAACTCCAGCAACATATTTCACTCGAACCACTGACATCCTTTATAAACAAAAATCTTGAACCAAAACGTAATGATAATTTATCAAAAAGTTCAACATTTTTCAACAAATTATCATCAGATGCACTAAAAACAAAAAATTTTACTATCAAACTAAGTTAAAAAATTTTAATTTACAAGTTTAATAACCTGGTGTATGAATACTTATTGTTGTGTCTATTTATTAGTAGTTTTACAGTTGGCTATAAAAAAGCAACATTTTTTAAATGTTATAATTAAAAAGAATTGTTTCAAAAAATAAAAATAGAAGGGTTTCTTTTTTACTTTTGCACTTAGCATGACAAACTGACTTAAATCAGAACTGGATGATATCAAAGGTACACGACATTGAGGTTCGATTTTACATTGTCTTGAATGCAAAGCTAATTGACAAGCTTCTACTAATGGAGAGATAATGTAAAATTTAGCTTCAGCTAATAATTCTGCTATTTCATGAGTTTTATCAGGAAGAGCAACATGTTCATCTCTTAGAAAATTTAAAATTGAATTGAAATGTTTTCCACACCTATCAATTAACACCCAACCTGTAATAATAATTAATAATTATAATTAAAAAATTATTACAATACTTAAAATAACTACAATACCCTCAGTGTCTGTAAGTACTTTCATACGACCACTAAACATAGCTTTAAGCATAGTATCATGTTTTGTCAAAGTACCAATAGTTGTGTAAAACAATGAACCACCAACGTTTAATTTGGCATATTTTGCATGGATATCAGGTTGCTGCATTTTGACTTTTAAATATTTTAAAAAAATGATATCTTTATGATGTTACAACTCATAATAGGAGATGAATATTTCACATATATAAAGTATAATTTACAAGAAGCAAAATTTAAATTCATCAAAAAAATTTTGAATATTATGCAAACTTTTATAAATAAAAATATTTTTGAAAACTTGCGTGGACAATTCGGCACGATCGTTTTAAGTACCTGGAGATCTAAAATTTTTCATGATATTGATATCACAACTTATATGATTTATGAACTCAGATAATATTATCTTAGTTTGTAATTATTATAGCTAAAATTAGGGTTACGGGGATTGCCACGAACTGATAATGTCCCGACATTCATATACTCCGATATTGTAAAAAAGTCCTCCGAATACAATTACTCCAACAACAATTACTGCGAATACCTGGTTACATAAATTTGGATTTTACTATGACGATGATTACTCCGAATAGGAAAATTAATAGATTGCTTCGAATGAAATTTGCTCCAAATATCGATTTTTCTCGAAATCGATTAAAAAATTATGAAATTTCGGAGTAGATGAATATTGAAGCAATATATTATCTGATGGAAAAATATAACCCTTATCGCTAATCAGTACATATTAATTATTACAATGAAAAAGTGTTATAATTAATTACTGTCTATTAATGAATAATTATAACAATAAAGACCCTCGAAATGCATACGACTTTCGATACGATAGGTACATTAAGGTAAGGAAAGAGGTTTGAATTAAAACAACCCCAGTTATATGGGCTTTCATCGTTTCCGCCAAATCTGATTAAAGTTGGTTTTTCGTTTCCGCCAAACCGATAGTTTATACCTGTCTATAAATAGAAACTTGAGAACCACTGGTTAAAATATTTGCCAAAATAACCCCATAATAATTATGTACTATTCATTTAATCGAACTTTTTACTATTTTTTTACTTTTATTAGATAACAGTGCATTGATAATTATGAATCATTTCATTCACATTTTAATAAACAATTTTTTAAGGCGCATCCTTCTATTAATATATTTTTGAAAATTTTAAAAGAAAATATTTATTCTTATAATTACATTAAAATATATAGTTTTGGTAATTTAGACTCAAAAAGCGTACTGAATAAAATTGAAATTCGTTTCAGAAAAACAAAAGAGACAATTAATAAATTTAATAACAATGAAATTTGCCGATTTGAATTTGTGAAATTAGTTTTCAACAACTATCGAAAAATGTATAGATCACAGATCTATTTTTTATTATATTATTACACGTATTAGATTNTGATAATTATGGGTTTTGTATTTTATTTTAATAGAAGTTGATGTTGCTTTTGCAATTATCCATCAATTTTTTAAAATTAAACACTATCTACAGATTTGCATCGAAGCGTTTCTTATGATAGTGATTTTAATCACTGTCAGATTAAATCTATACTGGACCCTACTATGCAATGTCTCCACTATGCCGCGACTCCACTGTGCTACCGTTTTATTTTCTTATAAACTATATTTTTATTATTTATTACAAATAAATATATATAACTTACTTAAGATAGTTATCAATTATAATTTATTTACCTTAGGTATAACGTCATATTTTCTTTATAAAGGTATGCGAATGTGATAAAATAAGTAATTATTCAAAATGTCGTGACCATATTTAGGGATGGTTAAGGGGGGCTAAAATCCTTGGGGGCGAATATCATTTAATAGTGATGGGACAAAAAATTACTTAATTTTGCTCATTAATAGTAATACCCCACGCAAAAATCTTAAATACAGGCCTGAACGTAACATTCAATAAAAGCCAAACAATTTGGTACTGGTAACTACCTAACCTGGCCGTATGATAAAACCGATACTGAATCGTCGTGGTAACCTATGGATAAAAGAAGATTAGTTTAGCGGAAACGAAAAACCGACCTCATTCAGGTTTGGTGGAAACGATACGTCATTCCAATTAGTCTCGTATAAAATCAAATAAAAATATGCTTTAATATCATTTCATTGTGTAAAGGCGAACAACAAAACAAATTAAGTCCAATTTAGATTCGATTTTTTGATTGGCCGCAATCTGAAGAGACTTGAGGGGGCTTAGTCTCCTAAATTTCTGCCTTAAAATATACCACGAATTTAAATTAATTTGTATTTCTTGTTGTATAGAAATATTTTTCTGATTAGGTAAAAAATTATGTAAATTAGAGTTCCCAAATATTTTGTTGCAATACTCCTACGCTCTAGTCAATTTAAGTAAACACAAGACAGTTATAAGTTAACAGTCGACAAAAGTTTATGATTAATCATAAATTTACTTAACTCTTCTGTTAAGATAATTAGTTTTAAACTTAACTAAGTCGAGTTGAAAATATGCAGTCGTTTCAGTAAATAATGGTTGAGTTTTTTTCATTTGTATGAGAATTACTTGAAGTTTTGTCAGTTGTTTATACGATAAAAAAATATAGTGAACGTAATTTTATTTTTTAGGAATATGTTTACACATTCCTAAAAAGTACATATAAAATTAATTAAATTTTTTAAAAAACTTCATTTTGTATTTATAGAACAATACATTTGTATTTGCAAGATACACGTTAAGATAACGAGATAAAAATATTGGCAAAATAATCATCTTTTTGCAATGTCGGCCTGGCTCAGGAAGCTCTCAATAAATTTGAGATTTTTTTTTCTAGCTGGACCACTGAGAAAATTGTCTGAAAGGTCATTAAGGAAAATTGTCTCCGGGATCATCTCCAAGGTTCCAGACCGATTTNTTATTATATGTGTACAGTTAAATTATACTCAGAGGAATGAATGTATTAATCAAATGTGAAACAAAATTTTAAATAATATATCAAAATATTATTTTTAAATTAATTTGTTATACTAATTATTAATAAAGTAAGGTTTTACTAGAAAAACAATTTTTTTTTATGATTCTATTTCAACAAAAATAAATGTAAAGGTTATACCCTAGTATTTTGTTATTGTTTCCTTGATACGAATTTATTGAAATTCTAAGTTAAGTCAAAACGTATAGAATCTAAAAGTCATAAGTCATGATCGTAATGACTTATGTCAAAAGTTCAAAAATAAAAATGGCTCAAGTGCATTTATCTTGTAATTGCTAAATATGTACATATATATATTACTACACATTTGTTTGACATGAAAAACTAATAATAAAAATATTTGATATAGGAATATAAACATTTAATTTACACTTGTAGCAATTTTCAAAATTTTATTTGTTTGTATTGAAAACCAACAAAAATTTACTTAAGCCCTTCTTCCCTGGAACCAAAGATATATCGAGGGAGAATTAAAATAAATTATTTTTCAGCACATGTTCGTTGGGTCAAACAAAAACATACAGTCGAGACGAATAGCATGACGATAATGCGCCTTTTGACATTATTATTATTTATCTGTACTTAAGCGAATAATTTTTCACTTCTATTTTACATATTAAAAAAAACCTATGTACACAATAAAAGACAATTTATTTTGTGCGTTTGAGAAGCGATAAAGATTTCAACATTAAAATCGCTTACTATCCCCGATTTGCAGATATATATGAAAGTAATAGCCTTTTTTTGAATCGATACACGAGTACAAATCGTGATCGTGAAGGCTTACATTACTAATGAATCTGATAGCAGAACATCCCAATAAATTCACTCCTATAAATCTATTTTGAATGTGACGATAACGAGGAATTTATTCATTTGTCTCGGTGACAATTCACCTCAAGTAACCTGATCAGTTGGACTTTGATCTAATCACACGGGAATCTTAAAACTGCCAAAAAAGTGGCATCATGAAAACGATTTGGTCTATACAAGTAATGTATGACACCCACCCTTTTTTAAAGTCAAATCAGTGAAGTAGAATCGACAGCTTTTTTTCTAATCTTTTTAAATCTTTTAGTTTTTTTTCAAATTAATAATTATTTATATTATTATTTAACTTATTTATTTTTTTAAAACAATATCTAAAAAATATCTTCAGATACAACTCTTTAAATTACTACAGTAAAAATAAAAATTTATCCATCGTATAGTTTTTAAGCTTTCCTCAAAAATACTTTATGCATAACATAATAGCTGTAACTTAAAAATCTAATGTAATGGCCAAGTTCAAAATATTTTCTTTAAGTTTTAGTGATATGTCTTTCTCGTAGTTGTAAAAAATACTTTTAAAAGTTAAAAAGTAAAAAAGTACTTTTAAAAGTAAAAAAGTACTTTTAAAAGTAAAAAAGTACTTTTAAAAGTAAAGAAGTACTTTTAAAAAGTATTTTAAATAATATTCAAATATTTAAAAAAAAATGTATTTAAAATACTATTTGAATACTTTTCATACAAAAGTATTTCAAATACTAAGAATACAATTAAAAAATAATAATAATGTTTTTATTTTAACTAAGAGCAAAAGGTTCCACCTAAATAATTACCAAGAGGGTAATTTGAGTCAAATATTGAGTACTCTTAAATTAAGAGAACTCATTTATTATTTTCGATATTTTTTGTTAGAGGTAAATAAAATTAATTATTGGAGACTAATCAGTGAAAAAAATAAATATTAGTACACGTGTAAAAACCTGTAAAGTATGTCTTATTGACAATAGAGTAAATCATTTGAACCTGCAATAGGCTATTGTAGGTTCAACTGATGTATTAAAAATAGATGTATACATAATAGCATTTAGATAAGCACAATAATTATGTTATACTATAATGTAACATATAAAATAACAGAGAATTATTCTCAATTTTCATTTTGACTGAGTTTAATTTGCTTGCTGTGTTACGGTTAGCAAATTAAAAAAAAAAGTATATTAATAGTACTGAATATTAAACAGTATTAAATACTAAATAATTGTATTTAAAATACTACTCAGATACTTTTTATTAAATGTATTTAAAAATACTATTCAATACCAATGAAAGTATTTGAATACTTTTATTCAAATACATTTACTCAAATGCTTTATGCCTTTGGTCTTTCTCAACCACAAGTCCTCCCTATACCCATAAATAAAAGATTTTCGCTGTGTCATAGTATAAATTTATTCTTAATTAATATTAATAATTAAAATTAAAATTAAATTAATAAGAATAAATGTTGCCTGAGGCACAGTACAAAATTTTAATTTCTTATTTTCTTTTTAGGTATATAGACTTGTGATTGAGAAAGTATATAAAAATTATGCTTACAGATAATATTTCAAACTTGACCATTAACTTTTAAATCCTAACTAAAAAAATATTGTAAATTTATATATTAGACATACATAATAATCATATATTTATTACCTATATTTTCCTATATTACATATATTTAAACCTCTACATTTTTTTAGTTACAATAATGTAAGCTCTTTTGTTAAATTAACCTTTTTTTTTCTTCAAAAATATCAATATAAAATGAAAACTAAAAAAAAAATATCATCTTTTATAACAACTATAATTTTTTGAGGCATCTCCCTTTACTACAGAGACTGAAGAGAACTTTTCAAAATTATGGTCCTGATAACTCTAACTAGGTACGTTTTGTGATTTTTTGACATATTGTTAATCGAAATCTGTCCTATAAAAGCGGAGTAATTATCTACAGCGTAACAAAAAAAAAATAACAGAGTAAAACCAACAGCTTTTCAGCTAAAAAAGTAAACATTATTATTTTATTAAAATTAAAAGAAATGTATAAATAAAAATTAGGTGGTTCAGGCTTACAAATTTTATTTAACTATAAAAGTTGTAAATTAGTTCTTTAAAAACCCAGCATAGTTACGACAAGTATAGATTGATATATGACAGTGATTTTATCCATATTATTAAACGCTTCCACATGAAAAAGTTAAATTCTATTTGGGACTGTTGATTCCACAAAAAAAAAAAAGGAATAGGAAAAATTGTTAATTTTTTCAACTACTTAGTTAATAATTTTAATTAATTCAGAAATATTTTTTTATGCATTAACTTCATTCTATTATTTTAAAAAGTAGCAAATATTGTCTCATTATGATTGTTAAAATGTATGTTAAAATTAAAAGTATTTTCAGAAAGTCAATAAAGCTAGATATTTTTTTATGCATCATGAAATTTAAAAAAACACTATATTTTAGCTTTTTTTTATTATTATTAGAAAATCTGTATAAAATTAATTTACAACAAGATTTTTTTTTGACATATATTACATATTGTAGGTACTGTTAAAGGAAATCATACAAAAATGACACCTCAATTAGTCTTAGTTATAGTAATATTTTAGTTATGATTTTATTGTTTTGTTAAGTCAAAAGGTATCGAGTAATTTTTTGATTAAAGGGTTTGATGTTATATTGAGTTTTGAAATGTGTCAGAAAATCATGACCTTTATTAAATATACCTTAAATTAAAACTTATATAATATACTTTATTAAAAAAAAAACTAGTTTTGGAATCATGTTTTAATTTAGTATTCTATTTTAAAGTTAAAGAAAAAAGTATGATTTTTGTGTATAAATTGTATAATCAGAAAGTTATTAGAATTATTTTGCAATTCAAAGAACTAATATCTCCTTCTACAATAAAATAGATAAAAAAATGTTTTTTTAACTTTTTTTATACAGATTTGTATCAAAATGTTTTAAGATACTGATGTTAATCTCTTTAAGATTTCAATCTGTAGCTTAATACCAACTATTCCAGACTGTACTGAGACATTTTAATTGTTTTTTTTTTTTTGTAACTATTTTCTTCTAGGATGGAGGTATTCATAATTAATCTTAATTTAAAATCATCTAAATCTAATTTTAAAAAGGTGGAGTTATCTTGTTTTTGCATAAAATCCTTCAATAGATGCAAGAAATTTAGCGTAGTTCAGCAAGAAATTCTATGAAGATATGAGAGATTTAATAAGTATTTGATGATAAATTTTAAATTTTAATCAATTTCATGACTAAAATTACAATATTTTTTATTGCATAGGAATTTTAAATATATTACAATATATTTACACAATTTCATAAATATAAAGATCCATCTGCCGGACCAAGATATCTGATGGAGATCAATAAAACATCAATAAGGGTCCAAACACCTAGTCCTCCAAAGCTGAAGAGTTTTCCAATACCTTCTTGCCAATGCCCCAAGTAAAATCTAAAAAAAAAACATTAAAAATGAAATTATGATGACTAATCAATTTTTTGCAGCTATGTACAATTTAAAGATTTTAATCATTAGTATATGACTGATTATCAGAATATGTTTTATTATTCATATGACATTAACAATTTATAATTTTTTATTAGGAATCAAAAACATAATATAACTATGTTTGATTTATGAGTTTTGAAAGATGTTAATGTAATGTAAAAAAAACTTAAATTATGTTGTCACTATACATATCTATTTTTCTGACATTTAAGATTCGAAACTTATTTGAAAAATTTAAATTTAAAATGGTCAACTAAATTATAATTGGATATCTTTAATGAGAAAGGGTAGTTCCTTTTTGCTAGTATTCATAAAAAAAATAATTATTTTTATCCAATAATATATTTAATTAACTAAATTTAAATAGCACTATATTGATGGTAAAATTACAAAAGTAAATTACATCAATAGATTGGGTATTTCGCTTTTAAATTGCTCATAATTATCACGAATAAAAAAAATTAACTTGTACTTTTTGTTATATAAAAATGGCACAATTAATTTTTAAACCTACTATTTTTGTTTTAAAAATATCTAAATATTCATTTTCAATATAAAATATTGATAATGTTTGACAACTTTCACTTTAACACATTAAACATATTTTATTTTCTCAATAATACTAAGTATCAAAAATAGTAAGCAATCACCTATCAACACCAAATCCTCCTAGTGTAATACTTAAAATTAGTGCAGTAGACCATCGATGTCCACCAGTCCAATTACAACGTAATCTCTTGTAAAATGTTCTATTTCCCAAACATAGCACATCTCTATTGACTGTACAATTAGTTCTAAAAGTTAAAAATAACATACTTAATAATAGTTGCCATACATTTTTTTCAAATATAATAATAAATAATAATTGGTAATATAAACTATGTTTTTTTTGATAGTTGTTACAATTAAATAAAATAATATAGTATTTCTATCTATGAAACACTATATATATATATATGTATTAGTTGATCTTTAAAAACAGAAATTATTTATATTTTATTACCAAATGTCTTATTCCCAAATAAATAATTTTAGAAGAGTAAAATAAAAATTCTTTTTGTCAAAAAAAAAACTTACCTATAATAGCTAGGAGGGGACGAAGCAGAATTACACATTGTTTTTTTAATACACTTATGTTCCCATAACTCAGTTTGATAACAGAAACGACATGTTAAATTTTTGGCAAATGTAGTTTCACCCTACAAATTATTACAATATTTTATTACTAAAATATAAAAATTTATAATTATTTATATAAGTTGTTTCTTTTAATTCTTCTATAAAATGAAACATATGTCAGTTAGAAAAGAAAAATTTATTGGTTATTGATAATTGATCTTCTAAATCAATTATTTCTTCTGTATATTTCCTCCATATAAAAATATACTACTTAAAATATTGAAAATTAGTATGTTTCTTTCTTAACTTGACTACAAATAAGAAGACTAATTTTCCTACAATATCAGAATCCCTTAACACACTGTTTAAAATAAGAAATTAATTAATTAATCAATGAATAAACTTTGTGTATGGTTACTTTGTTAAAAATACTTTTTTACAACATACCACACATTTCACATTTGCTTTACAAGTAGCTATTGTTTGATTACCATATACACATGATTCATTCATGTAACAATGAATACAAGGATAAGGTAAACTTGAACATGGCTTATTTTCAGAATCAGAACAGTCCCAATCATCTTCATGGTGTACCTTAAAAATAGCAATCAAAATATGAATCAAAATATTGATATTATAGACTATGAGTTGGTTATTAGATTCTAAAAAAAAAAGTAAGAAAACAATAAAATATAAGCCTATAAAATTACTAATGTTTAAAGCTTAATAAAATATAATAAAAATCAATTACTTATGGCTAACATTACTTAAAATTAAAAGTATTAATTTAAAACTAAAAAAAATATAAATGATATTGAACTTAAAAAGTCACAAAAATTACTAAAATATTACAAATTTTATTTCGATAATAATGCCATTATTACCAACACTAAACCCATACTGACATTTTTTATATACTTTTTTGTTTTAAATTTATATTTTCATTTTTAAATAGTATAATATATTAAACAAGAAAAAAATATATTTATCCTAATCCAATTTAAGTTAATATATTGCTGTCCTGCCAACCTTTAATTATGGTTACAAATTACATTTTTTGTATTAATAAAATACAATAACTATCTAACTACTCATAACTTTATAGACATTAGTATTTTTCTTTTTTATAATTTAAAGTATTCATTCTTTAAAATTGTAAACATCACAGTACTTATGATTACTATAGCGTTTTTAATCAATTTATATTTTTATTTCTAATAAAAAGGAAAATTTTGGATAAAAGTAGTCAGCATAGACAAATTATATTGGCTTCTGAAGTAACCTAAACATTCTTTAGAGAATGATTAATGATTTAAAGACAGTTATATTTCACAATTATTAAAATATTATAACTTATGCCAATCTAGTTTTTGTGGTTACTGATTCAAATGTTGAAAAATGTGACATTATATGTTACTTTAACAGAAAAGAATTTAAAAGAAACTTTGTTTATAATATATAAATTAATGAAATTACAATTAAATTAATTGAATTATAAAAAAAGTCATATGTTAGCGTGAATAATAATCATAATTAACACACATAAAAAATACACCAGAAATTACCATTTTAGAATGAGTGTTATTTTCTAATTGAGTTTGTTTTTTTTTTTGTTTTGATAGTGAAATATCAACATGATCATCATCTAAAATTTATTAAGAATAATTAAATTAGACAATTTTAGTTTTATACATAAAATAAAGTAATAGTTAAACAATTATGTACCATTTTGTGATTCTATACTAATTACAATAAAATTCAATACAATTACAATGACACAATGGTAAAATGACTTCATTCTTAATCCATCTCCAATAAAAATAAATAAATTTATTATGTAATTAACTTGTTGAGAAGTAATTTTTATACAATAATGTTTTATTTTGAATTGATTTTAAAAGATTCATATTAGGTATTTATTTATTTTAACATTTGTTTACGATGCACAACTTTCCTCAATTTAAATAAACTACTGGTTATAGTAATAACTGTTTACCAAACAATTGTCTGTATTATCATTTTATCTTGAACGATTTTTTGATAACATATCTAATGAAAAATTACAGTAACAATTAATAAATTTTGTTTAACAAATTTTCATTTTATTATTGCAAAATTATTACGCAATACTGGTTCAATATTATAGAAGTACCAAGTATTATTAAAAGTGCAGAGTTCCTCGTCTTAATTTATTTTAAATGTACTTTTAGTATAAATTATTTAAACTTTATTGTCTAATAACTGAAAAAAATAATTTAGCTAGTTAAACATTTTTATATATCGATGTCTTTATTACGAAAAAATTGTTTCTATAAAATTAAATATGGATTGTGTATTTCTTCTAGGTATACTTTAAAAACTGATTTAACTTTAAAACGTTTATGTATTTCAAAATCTTCTAATTTGTTTGGCTTCTATAACACATATGTCAGAGATTTTCATTTCAAATGTTGGAAATGTCAGCATATTGCTAAAGAAAAACCAAGTTTATTTTGTCATAATTGTACTGTTATACAATCTTCAGAAGAGCAAAACTTTAATTATTTTGAATTATTTAATTTAGAACTAAATTACAGTATTGATATAGGCATATTAACTACTAATTTTAGAAAATTGCAAAGTCTAATTCATCCAGATAAATTTTCAAACAAAACTAAAGTAAACCTTAATCTAATTTTTTTTATAATAATATGACTACATTATTTATTAATGTATTATTAAGGAGGAGAAAAAAATGTCTGAAAATTTTTCATCCATATTAAATAAAGCGTATGGAACTTTGATTAACCCACTTCAAAGAGGTTTGTATATGTTAAGCTTACATGGTCTAAACATAGAAGAGAATCCTGTTACCTTTGAAAAATCATTTTTAATTAATATAATGGAATGGAATGAACAAATAGAAGAAGCTAATTCAAAATTATCTCTTGAAAAACTACAAATTGATGTGCGAGATATCTTAGACAACACATATAAGTTAGTATATTTATGTGATTTTAATTCTGAAACTATTAAATTTCTTTTTTTTCTTTTTTTAGAGAACTATCAATAGCTTTTATTAATAAAGATTTTAATCAAGCTAAAATATTACTATCTAGAGCAAAATATTTTGTATCAATGTTGAACACAATTAAAGAAAAAGAATTATAATATTTTTAAATAAAATTACTTTACTTTTATTTGAATCTTTGCTTTGCACACAAAGACACATATTATAGACTTAAAATTGCTGAAAAAATTGTAATATACATATGTATTAAAAAAAAATCTGAAGTACAAATTAAAAAATTTTTTGAGATATTGACAAGTTAAGAGTAGCAAGCTGGTTGGTCCATTTATCAATTGCTGCATAACGATTTGATGCTGAATCAACTAATGTTAATGTTAGTACTTGATTTTTTTGATCAATACGACCTTTTATAGTTCTGAAAAAAAGTATATATACTCTTATCATCCATTATTATTTAATTGTTATTTATGAGAATAAATAAAAATATTGTTATCACATTTGATTTATTCATATTAGTTAATTTTAAGCACTAATTTGTGACTACCATAAACTAAAATTTGATACATACTCATCTAAAATACAAGTAACCAATAAATTTTCAACATCACTTTCTTCAATATTCAACTCTTTTGCTATAAATGGAATATGTACACGTGTATATGGTTTAATCAATTTAATCAGTACTTGAGTTCGAATATTACTTAAGAGGGCTAGTAAATATTTAAGAGAATTATTATTTTATAAAATTATTATTTTAGGCATTTTATAAGTTACCTTCAATATGCTCTCTGATGAAAGGATCATCCATAATATTTTTTCTATGGTTTTTTAAAATAGTTTCAAATTCTTTTATATCATCATTTTGATATGCTTGTACTAAATTGGTCATGGCCAAAATTTCTGGATCATTTTTATAAGGTTTTGCTTCTTGTGAATCAAATGGATTAATACCTGATTTCATAAGCCTATAAATATACAATTTTGCAATAAGATAACAAGATTAACAATCATAATTTGAAACAAATTTTTTGTACAAGACAATTACATATTAGCTAAAACTAAGTATTTTAAACATGTTGTGCGACGAGGGCTTCCAGATTCATCGTAATTTTTGAAAGCTTCAAAAAAGTCAGTATGAGCTTTTGAAAAATGACCTTCTTCTAAATGCATTTTACCTCCACATTCTGTAAATTATAAAAAACATGTGTATAGTTTATTGATCTATTGAGTTTTGATAATTAATCAAACTGTTAATCATTCATTGTTGTTAAATATTCTTAAATACTACATTTTTGAAATCATAAAATAAAAATGTAATTTATTATTTAGTTATTTTAGTTTTTTAACATATAGCCAACATAATGTTTATATTAAAAGGATATTAGTTAGATTTAATATACTTTAATGGTCTAATTAATAGACATTTTGATAAATATTTCAGAGAAAATACTTTGTTATAACACTAAAAAAAAAGACTTAAAAATTATATTGGTATTAAATTTTTACCTCGAATTACACCCATGATAAGAGGATGTGGTATAGCAGATTTTATGTGCAGAGATTGTTCATATAGCTCTTTTAATTTTTTGTTATTTTTTTGAGCAGTATACATTTGAATTTCTAATGCATAGATTTCCAATAACTGAGTACCTTTTTTGAGGTCATCTTCTCCATTGTCAGTCTAAAAAATTTTACTTATGAATTAATAAATAGAATTTAACAAATGTTAAATTTTAAATAATTTTTAATTAATAAAAACCAAATAATTTATACTATTGGGTAGAATAAATTAATAAAAGTATTAAGAAATTTATTATTTTTTGTTTAATTAAACATAAAATTTGTGTGAATATAAATGAATAACATATTATAAACATGATATAGTAACCTAAGTGTGGAAACTCAATAATGGTCCTTTTTTAATTTTTCATTACTATCATTAGATGTAAAACAAAAATTATTATTTTATAAAGATGGTTTAAAAGTTAAAAATACAATTTTTTGATTAATAAAAAAAAAAGGTTATATATTTGGACATTAAATGATGGTAGTTACAAAATAAAAAATATATATTAGTAATCATTAATACCTTTACATATCAAGAGGACTATACTTATAATTTTATCATCAAAATCATTTTTCATTTAAACATTATTATCTAACAATTATCAACATTTATCTTAATTTTTGTAATTTTTTAATAATGTTATCATTTTAAATTGTAATATAAGTTTTATTTATATTACTTGACAAGATGCATGAAGCTGCTTTAGAATTTTTGTGAGCTTGTTATAATCAGCTAAATCAAAATATAATTTTCCTAATTTTGTATTGGTTTTAAACCATAATCTATCATTTTTAGCATCTCTAAGAGCATCCAATGTTGTTTCATAAAAATTTTGAAGGAGATCCATCTAAAAAAATTAAAGTTAAATGTGTATTATATACCACATTCTATTAATTTCTAATTAATCGATAATAAAATGTATTATATTACACTATGTTATACATACATTTTTCGATGTTGATATATAATCCAATATAGAGTTGATAGATTTTTCACTATGGTTTCGAGTAACTGCTGTTTTAATGTATGTTAGCAGTTGCTTATATCGGTTCATCATTTCTTCATAGTTATTCTAAATTAAGTAGAAATATAAACATTGTATTAAAAAAAAATAATAATAAGTTTTATTTTATTAATATAATTTTAAAGTAGAACTCATTAAATTTAAATTAATTTTTTTTTTATGGCATCAAGTAAGAAACATTAAGCTCTAAGTTTTGTAAAAAGACCTCAGATATTTTTATCTAATTAAATACTTTTCAGTTTTATGTAGACATTCATCATGTATACATGTAATTTCTATTATTCTCATACTATGTTTAAGTTATTACTATACATCTATTCAGATTTTAGCTTCGATGCGAAGCTGAGAAGGTATTGGTTTTACTATGATGTGTTTTTTTTTGTGTCTGTTACCACTTTTTCTCAGCTCTCACCGAACGGATTTCTTTCAACGATACGTCAAAAGATCACAAATTGTATCTAGTCGAAGACATTACCCTTCAAAATTGAAAAAATTTCCCTCGTTCCCCGTAAATGGGGGAAACCTCCAAAAAAATTACAAATTTAAAAATCGCTAATTTTCGAAATTTTTTCAATTTTTTTTACTAAAAATTGCTATAACTTTTTTAAAAATAACCGAATCAATAAAAAAATTTNCTAACTTTTTCAAAAATGAACATATCAATATAATTCTTTTTTATATAGATGCATGATATTATTACCTTTCATTTAGTATATTTTTTTTTTATATGTGACCCTTTACTTGCCCATAGGGGGGGATTTAAAATGACAACTTTTTCACAAAAAATTAATTTTTCAACTTGATTTTTGAAAATGTTTCCGGNGGGGATTTAAAATGACAACTTTTTCACAAAAAATTAACTTTTTCAACATAACTTTTGAAAATGTTCCGGAAGGTCTGACACTTTTATATATATCTTAAATTAAAGCTAATGTAATATACTTTAATTTGAAAAAAAAAAATTTGACCTCTGGACTTGTCTTCATGGCGAAAATGGCTACCGAATGCTATTTTCGTGTGAAAATTCTCGATTTTATTATTTATATTATATTTAACTTTATAATGCTATAACTTATTGAAAAGTTTATGGATCCACACAATTTTTTTTATGAGAAATAATATTTTTTAATAAACCTTTTTCATTCGACATACTTTATCTTAATCGAGATATTAATAAGGAACCAGCAGATCAAGAAGCTTTTGGAATAAAACACCAATTTTTTTTTAAATTAAACACTATCTAAAGATTTGCATCGAAGCGTTTATTTTTGATAGTGATTTTAATCACTGTCAGATATCATTATACTTGATCCAACTATACCACGGCATCACTGTGCCGCGACCCCCCTGTGCTGGGTTTTTTTGAAATGATACAGTTTTTACTCTTTCTAATTCGAGAACAATATCGAATTCATCAATCAAGATTAATCATGAATTCATGTAAAATTGATCATTTAAAAAGTAAATATCAATTAATTCAATATATTTTTGCCACTACTAATAGATTCTGGCTAGTTCTTGATTATAATAATTTTTGGACATTAGCTTTGATAATGGCGTAATGCCAATAGTTAATGGTCCTTATAAAATCTTGTCACCAATTGAGATGACCAATAATCAAGTAAAAAATAACAACAACAATAAAAGCAATTCACAGTCAACACATAGCAACAAATACAAGGAATGTATTACTTACAAAAAACTATAAAAAAGAGTTGTCACATATAAAAGCCAAATACACCACCAACAGTTTCCAAACTTTGGTTCACACATTGGTCTACAAAAAACTTGTCAAATTAATTCTCAACCATAGGCATACACTAATGTCACAATATCTAGTTTTTTTTTTTAATTTACTAAAACTAGCATAGATAATTCAGCTATTTGGATATATCTGCTACTTTTTGCCTCCCAGGAGACAACGTAGTAAAAAACATTCAGTTTACAGAATTTATTTCAGCTTAGGATATAACTTTATTTTGAGTAGTGATATTGGTGCTAAGCATATCTAAATTTTTATAAAACTAATCCTAGAGACAACAGACTAATTTAAACACTCTCAAACTCTCCTCATATTAACATTTTAGAGCCTCTTAACTACACTATCCAATCAGCCTCCTATAATAAATTGCTTATATACAAGATATATTTAATTACTAAAATTGCATATTCATTTCAAAACTATTAACATAATATATTTGATCCTTGCTCAAATCATTCACCTGTTTTACTATACTTAGATTGTCATCCTCCTATGAAATGTTATGCTGACACAATTTTTAAGTCACAAATTAACTGTAATAAATTCAAAAACACTTTTGTTGAAAAAACAAACCTTAACACTAGATTTAAAACAACTAATGAACATTTTGACAACACAGTGCACAATCACATATAATATCTAATAAAAGCTTGAAGTTCAACTTTATTTCAGACTTTATTAAAATCACAAAATAATTTTACTAACACAAAAATCAAATTTTTTTGTAATAACTATTTTACTATACATGTTTACCACAAATGTAATAACTACTTTATAATTTCTTCATAAAAAATTACAATAGTAAGTTATTAAATATCAATTTCATACTATATTTAATTGCTATAATAAATATTTATTAATTTATTACACTTATAAATTATATAACTTGTAATCAGGATATAAATAAGGAAATAAGAGTTCATGTTGCTTTTTGAATAATCCATCTATTTGAAGCGTTTTTCATCATAGTGATTTTAATCACAGATATCATCTATACTTGTTCACACTATGTCACAACACCAATGTACTACCATTTGTTTACTTCTTATGTGTTTTTTATTCATGATTATATTTTGTTTATATTTGTTAGAAAATAAACAACTAACTTTCATCAAAACAACAGAATCGAAGAACCAGAAGTAAATAAAAATAATAAATATCATGTAAACTCTGTTGCAGTGATTTTTTAATCAGAGCTAGAAACTGAATTAATTTTGGTTTTACANATTATTAATTTAAAAAACCTAAAAAATATTAAAAATATTAAACTCAAAGCCACAAAAAAATTAATGAAAAGTCGCGGATACGTATTTCGGAAACAATGTTACCATTATCAACGCTAAACACATACTAATACTAATACACATACTATAGTATGTGTTTAGCGTTGATAATGGTAACATTGTTTCCGAAATACGTATCCGCGACTTTTCATTAATTTTTTTGTGGCTTTGAGTTTAATATTTTTAATATTTTTTAGGTTTTTTAAATTAATAATATTTTTAATATAGTTTTAATTTTACTTAAGTGTATCAAACAATTTCCTACTTTTCAGGAGAGAAAAATTTAATTTCTACTTTCCATATAAGGCAATAAAAATAATTTACTTCTTCCTAAAAATATATACATTCCAATATCATTATTACTATAGTATTGTCATATTAAAAAATATTTAATATATTGCTCAAAAGAGACAAATAATCAAAATATTTTATTTTGGATAATATGTTTTTTTAATTTTGACCCTTCAATTGTAAAAACCAAAAGTATTATGAAATTATTTTTAAAATCTTATCTAAACTAAAAATTTAACTATATAAAGTTTAAAATTGATATATATTTTTTTGGTTGATTTCAAAATTATTTTTAATGTCATAACTGGAAATTGCAAGAATTTATGTTCTAATAATTATTATATAGCTTAACAATTATAACCTTAAAAATGTATGCTCAAAATATTTAATTTCAAAGGAAATGTGTTATGGACATTATAAGCAGGGACAGATTTTGAAAAGTTGAGTCATAGAGCTAAATATTGCAGGCGGACTCCTCCTACAATGAACGTCTTCATCTTAATACTAAAATACTACAAAAAGAAAAAAGGCCCCTTAGAACATTACGTTCTAAAGGTCCTTTTCATTTAACTCTCATAGCCCAGTCCTGATAACTTATTGTTTTATACTTACAAGCCGAAAATTTATTTTTATCATCTGCTTCAAAGCTTTGAAACCCCATTCTCCTTTTTCACCAGCTTCAAGGTCTAAAACTTTTTGAAATGATACTAGAGAGGAATTTGGATCTCTTTCTTTTAAAGATTTAGAATTGTAGTATTGATTTTCTAAGTCAACATCAGGTTCTGAATTGCTATCTTCAGAATATTCCTAAAAAATGAACATAGTTATAGTTCTGATTTTCTAATGATTCTATAATACTAGTTCTATGAAAATTACAAAAAAAATTAGTGGAAAGTTTAAAAATGTAAAATTAAAAACATTTTTCAATTTGTTTGAATTGGCATAAAAAAAAACTTTAACTTTATAGATTTGTTATCGTTTGATGGAATTCATAAGTATTACTATCTAAGCTTAGTAGATACAGTTTGCATTTTCACTTTTTGCTTGCTATTTAAATGTTGTTACATAGTAGTCATTATAACAATTTACATAATGTAATAAATTCATTGGTGTACAATTAAAATACTGTATTCTGTTAAAAAACTGAGATATTATTAGAATAAATAAAAATAATAATTTTTTAACTGTTTTATTACTAGTTTAGAATCTATTACTTTTCAATAATCATTAATTGCAAATCATCAATCATGATAAATGAAGAAAACATTTGAGTATTTTAATAATACAACATTATATCATTGAAAATATTTGAAAATTATATATTTTTTTTGCTATTTTATAGGAATAATGAAATCAATTTGCTGACATTTAAAATTGAGAAACATAAACGAGAACACAATTATTTTAATATTAAAAAAAAAATTAACTATTACATAATAATACTTACAAGACCATAATCTTCATCATCTTCGCACATATAAACATCTTCTGTATCAGACATGATTATTCAAGGTAACACTAATAGTACATAACAACTATAACTAAACACTTTTTCAAATTACACGTTTCCAAATTCTTAATGAAGTGATGAATACAAAATAATTTAAATGTCTGTAAAAATAAAATAAGCGGTATTCAAAATTACAATTTGTTCTTGGTATTACATCCAAAACAAAACGATAACAACTTTAACCATAATGTAAATTGATAACAAGATTCATTATTGTTTACAGCCATGATTTCAGTTAGATAAAAAGTGTTCTAAAATACGAGTGGGTAATTTTATTCCACAAATTTCTTGTTCAAATTAATATTTGTTTTAACAAATTTGTGGAACAAATGTTCATTAGAATAAAAGTTCAATGGATCAAATAAGTCTTTGAACAAATAATCTTTGAAACAAATGGATCAAAGAAAGATAAAAGGAACATAATAAATGGAGAACAAATATTAATTTGTACAAATTAGTTACGGAAAAAAGTATACATTTGTATTGGATCTTATTATCCAAAGACATTTATATTCCAGTAAATATTGAATCCAATTTATATTTGTTCAAACAAATATGAAATTATAATGGTAATAATCAAAATATTATTCCTATCCTACAATTATAAATTTTAGTTTAAAAATTGCCTTAATGTTTCAAAACTTTCTTTAATTGACCAATACTCGGGTAACATTTGGTGTTATTTAATTTGTTTCATAAATAGTCATAATTTTTAAAATAACATATTATATTATTGAGTCGAATCTGGTGATATTCGAATTTCTATTATTAGATTTTATCAATATTGCTAATTAATAATTATTTAATTCATGTTAATTAATAATTAATACCGTGAATATATATATAAGAAGATATTACCAAAAAATAATAATTAAAAAAGTCATACAAATTCGGAAAAATTATTTTTGACCCTTTATATTATTAGTTTAGGGATAGCCCAAAGCTCACAACTAAAGTAGGTAAAGTACAGTATACTTACGAAAATTTATGTAGAATACATAAATATAGAATATATAATATACGTTTTTTATAAGTAAAACATGAATTGATGTTAGAATTGTAAACAAATTTTTATAATATTATGGTTACGGATATAATTAGAAAATCAGGATCACGGCGATTACACCCCATTACCATTATTAATTCGCTGTCGCCAAAAAAAGCAAACCTTTATTGCTATTATAAGAAAAGTAATGTCTAACAGAAATATATTATTATATTGATCCAGTTTAAAGAGTGTTATGGTAAAAAATTTACTCTGAAAATGAACTTTTTAATTTAATCTTAATGATAAAATGTTATCTATTAAAACAAATAATCATGTACATATAAGGTAGGATGTAATATTTGTAAAAATATGGTTTTGTAAAAAGAATTAAATTTTTTAACTTAAAAACGAAAGATTACAATGTTTCATTCCGTAATATTAAGAAATATAATTGTTGATATTATTAAACAACGTTTAAATTACGTTACATTCAGGTAACAAAGAAAGAACGCCCTATAAATTATGGTATAATAAAAAGGCCTAATATAAGCAATTTAGTAGTGTTAAAAAATAAGTATTTGGTAGTGAAGTTTATGTTCATATACCAAAAGAAAAACGTAGAAAATGGGATCAAAAAAGTAGAAAAGGAATATTTGTTGGGTATTCAAAAGAAACTAAAGGATACCGCATATGCTTTGGCGGAAAAGAAGTTTCATTAAGCAGAGATGTTATATTCAAAGATCCTACAGATAGAGATTAAAATGAAAAAAGAAGATGAAGAAATAAATTCAGAAATGGTGGTTGAGAGTAAAGAAAATAACATTAATGATTAGAATAATGTTGAAATAAAATCAAATATGGATGAACTTGATTAATCAGCAGATCGGACTCAAGAAGATTTTTATCTTTAAGGACACGACTTATATCTAAATTAAATAAAAATCAATGAAAATACTCTTCTAATAAAAAGTAACAAATGTAAATTTATTAATTGTTAATCACAGTATTAAGTAAATTAATATATCAATATTACGATACAAATTATATTTATATGGTTAATATGCAATCTGGTTATTTCATCCATTCAGTTCTTAAGTCCTTCTTATTGGTTGATCGGCTTATGAACATCAAAAATTCTCATGGTAACAAACCATGATCATGGATCTCAGCTGCGGGCCCTCAAGTTGAGGCACTCCACTATCCGTCATGGGATCGTTCTAGTATAAGCGCCAGACTGGCTTGCCATACACAACGACGCGCAACAATTCAGATCGTGTTAACCAGTGGTACGTTAGTGATGCTACGCCTGATCAGTGGCTAAACACTTATAATTATGTACATATAATGTAACGGTAAAAACTTGACAAAATATCAATTGATTTAAATAATTAATTAGAACAATTTTATTTCTTCAACTAGACGGAATAATTTCATATTGTAGTGTGTTAAAAATTTTATAAAACAAATCATTTGGTTTCACATGGACTAAGATATCACCATCGATGGTAGAACTATCAGAAATATTAGTTGTGAAACGTATTCTTTTTTAACATTAATTTTTGGCAGAATTTCATAATGTAAATAAAAGTTCTTAAACACCATTGGTTATTATGGACAGTAACCTAATATATAGTGTGGATAGAAATTATAAATGAATATCAATGGTATCATAGAATCTTGCGAGAAAAGACGAAATGTATCATATTTTGAGTAAAAATTGAAAAAGAAGAAACCTAATTGAATTTTGATTGGGGTAACTGAAGTTGTAGTCATTTAACTGCTTATAAAATAAGTGAGAGGATATCAATATCATAATAAATTATTATATTCATATACCTCATCTTCAGAAATTCTATTATAATTTTTTGAAGAACAAGGTTTTTTTGGATAAATATCAGGAGTACTATTTGGCCGAAGAATTGTTTTACTTCATTGAGCCTAATATAACATAAATTTATAAAATATTTGTATTTAATATTAATTTATTTAAAATAAATGTATTCATACTGAGCAGATAATACGTCCACTAGAATCTTTAATTTCTTTTTCAGTTCAAATATTAAATCATGAAAAATATTTTTCACACAACACACTTGTACTCAGTATTAAAGTTTATTTACATAACTCTTCCCATTTCAGAGCCTAAATTTCATCTTTTGGTACATTAAATATAAATTTACAAATGCAACAATGTCGAGGCATATTATTTAAAAATTAAATATTATTGAACAAAATATAATTTTGTTACGTTACTGTTAGACTATATTATGTAAAATTAAATGACATTTCATTGAAGAACTATTTGTTAAATTTTTGTAATATATTGTTTCATCTTGTAAATGCAAGTGTTTAATACATTTTTATACATATGAACATAATTTTGTAAAAAGTATTTTATATTTCTAATGCACTGCTACCTATTTAATGAGAATTAGCTATTTTAGTTATTTTCAACTAGTTAGCCACATAGAACGAACCGATCGCTTTATCAATTCATTAGACGAAATGACCAATCTATCAGTACAACCGTGAATGGAACTAATGTTTTATTAAACTTTATATTAAAGATATAATTGGCATAAATATTCATTGGAACAAGTAACATTTTTATATAATAATAGTTTTGGAACAAAAGGTAATGATCCTTTAGCGTGTGGCTATAAAATTGCAAGGTATTAATTTTCATAATTGATTATTTGACAACGATCATGACTAATATAATATTTTATCTTATAGTAAATGATCTGATTTGTAAGCCCTTGTAAACGATGAGTTTGTTAGACTAACTAACATAGACTTTATGTTTCAAAAAAGATGTTATAGAACAGCTGTTGTACGTTACCCTTCATTTGTTTTTCCTTGTCTTATCAAAATTTTGTTAATAATAAGCTTACAATAATAGTTTATATCTTTAGTTTGGAGGTTTCCAATTAGGTTATTCGTGTAATTTATCAATAAAAAATGGCTTTACCCCGAACAATTAGCAGTTTATTACGCACAAAAGCAATTTATACTGCTTCTACTAGGAGTGTAGTATCACATGAACCTTGGAAACCAGGTCCATATCCAAAAACTGAAGAAGAAAGATTAGCAGCTGCAAAGAAGTATGGATTATTACCAGAAGAGTATGAACCTTATCCAGNAGAACAGCTGTTGTACGTTACCCTTCATTTGTTTTTCCTTGTCTTATCAAAATTTTGTTAATAATAAGCTTACAATAATAGTTTATATCTTTAGTTTGGAGGTTTCCAATTAGGTTATTCGTGTAATTTATCAATAAAAAATGGCTTTACCCCGAACAATTAGCAGTTTATTACGCACAAAAGCAATTTATACGGCTTCTACTAGGAGTGTAGTATCACATGAACCTTGGAAACCAGGTCCATATCCAAAAACTGAAGAAGAAAGATTAGCAGCTGCAAAGAAGTATGGATTATTACCAGAAGAGTATGAACCTTATCCAGACGACGGTCTTGGATTTGGAGATTACCCAAAATTACCAGATATTGGACAAGATGCTAAAAGTGAATATTATCCTTGGGACTCTCCTGAACATAATAGGAATTTTGGTAAATAGTCATTACTTCAGAATTATTAAATACATATGTATAATTTTATGTGGTGTTTAGGTGAGGTAATGCATGTCCATTCTGATATATGGGGTTCAGACAAAGGTGATCCTAATTATAGAGAAAGAGCGAGATATCCTGATTGGATACGAGTGTCATCTTTGTTTATTGCTCTATTTGGCATTGGTGGCTTAATGTGGGTCGGACAATTTTATGTTCAACGATACCGTCCATTTATGCCCAAACAGTGGCCTCAAGATGATATAAAACATTATACTTATTCTGATAAATATTTTTGAATTTTTTAATTTATATTAATGTAGTGGTTATTTAAAGTAAAGTAAATTTGTTAACACCATCAAATATAAAATACTGTTACAACTGATTATGTGATTTATATGTCATTTTTAATTTGTCCAAAAATCAAACCCTATAAAATATCATATATATATTAAACTTATAATATAAATGGTTTAAAAAATAGAAAAAAAGAAACCCACTTGGTATTCATATAAATGAATACCAACAAAACCATATACATATTTAACTAATTTACTTATTTATGAATTTTCAATAAATATAAGTTTTTAATATAAAAAGTCTTTATCAATAAAATAAAGAACATTATTATCTTCTTTAATTGTACTTTCCAACTGAAATCTAGCATAGATAATTTATTTATTTGGACATAGCTGCTACCTTTTGCCTCCCTAGACACAACATTACTAACATTCAGTTTACAGAATTTTTTCAACTTGGGATATAACTTATCTGGGTAGTGATATTAGTGATAATAATATCTAGGTTGTCATACTAATAATCCTAAAGACAACACACTAATTTAAACACTCAAACTTTCCTAATATTAACATTTTAGAGCCTCTTAACTACATTTATCATGTTTTAATTTCTCTTTAACTGTAATATATAACTGAATATTAATAAGTTTATTTTAAAATTAGCAATCTTAATTTCAATATCAATACTTAGTTAATACTCCAGTTGTATGAATACTTCAATAAATTTAAACAGTTATATAATATAAATCTATTTATACGTATAATAGACCAATTGAAACAATTATTTCAGATATCGTCCAAGTTCTAATATTAAAAACACAATTTAATTTCTTTTTATAAATGAATGGAAATATGTAAATATTGTGCAGTATATATTGAGGATTTAGAAATTAAAGTAACTAAATTTTGATTATTAGTCCATTTCAACCAATATTTAAAACTTTTTTAAATTTGAAAATGGTATACTATCAAAAACATATCAGTTGTTTCTTAATTGAAAAATAAAAATTTAATTTTGCTCTTCAGAATAATAAGGAATTATTTAATACATTTTTTTAATTTCCTTATTATTGATATATAATAATATTTCACTAGTTACTACATTATCAAATGTATCTATTTTCAAATAATTATTATTATAATTAACCTTGAAAACATTTTTTAATTTGAACACCTGAAGAATTTCTGAGATAATTGATTCAATTAATAAATACATAAAAAGTAAAATAAAGTTTAATGTTGTACTATATAATGTCAAGTTTATTAATGATTAATACTTAAGTATTATTAATTAAAATACAATGGAAAAGTCTTGAAAGATTTGAATGATATTGGTATAACTAAAAATTTTTAATGTATTGCACAAGTGTTAAATTTTAGAATTCTCATTGCATCACATTTCTTTGTCAGTTTCATGAATTTGTATGAGAGATTCAGCTTGTTCTGAATCAAAATCTCTAAATCTACATAAATGTAAATTATTAAAAATTCATTTAAAACAATTTTTTTTATATAGAGAATTTTAAAGAAAACTTTAAGTACTTCTACTGTGTGTAGTAAGAAACTTTCCCTACCAGTAAGAGTAGGTGATGTGCAAAACAATAAAGGTACTTAGCCCTTCCCATTGAAAATCTTAGATATGCCACTAACTATGTTTGAGTGCATCTGAATATTTAATATAAATTAAATATTTATTTGGTTAAAACAGGTAACTGACATATAAACAAATGATGTAATAAAAGAAAGTGACAGATGTATATATTTATAGAATTAACCCCATGTAAAAAATATAAATTTCAAAAAAACTTTAGTGGAAGATTAACAAGAAAATTAATCGAATAAATGATTTCCCTGAAATTCTCTATATTTACTTTTTTATCATTGAAATATTATTAAATACTTAATAAAAATGTACCTAAGTGAATTTCTTTTTTGAAAACGGTAAAAACAACCATCATTTTTATTATAATTTTTCCTGTATGTTAACCATATTAGAGTAAAAAATGACAAAACTATAGGAACTAAACCAAAATAAAGTGATGGTAAAAGTAGTCTTTCTCCATCAGATTTTTTATGGCTATTAAGTCCTCGAAGAATTAAATTTATTGGAACAATAAATCCTATTGACATTGTTGCAATAATTGATGATGTTAGCAGACAACCCCTAAAATAAATTTAGTATTAAAAGAAAGAACTCAATTTATTTGCAAATAAATTACCATAACCATATGACTTCAGGTAATGTGGTTTTCATAATTCCATTAACTATTAATGACAGCACTTGTTGTTTGCTAGGCCATTCAAAAGTTTCAATTTCAAAATAATGAAGAAATATAAAAATAGGCCAAAACATTAAAACATTAAAAAGACCAACAAGACCTGTATAACAAAAATATTATTTGTAAAAAAATATATATACAGAGCAAATGATTTATTATGATTCTTGCAAAATCTTTAAAAATATAAAACAAATAAAAATAATTTTTTCTTTTAAGAGGTTAATATTTCTATGAATGAAGATGAAATGGATTTATATTTATTATCATTTATAAACCTAATTATATCTCCCACCTTAGTAAAGAACTGATAATATCTTTTAAAGTATTCATTTAAAAGTTATTACTAACCAGTCATTTTCATAGATAGATTATTTCCAATTAAAAAAATCTTAAGTTAAATATTTAAAATATAGGATACTATTTATTTTGCAAAAGAAAAAATTATAATATATTTTATACTTTTAAAGATGTGCGAGTAAAATATATATTTTATTTAAGTAAAAATATTTAAGTTAATTAATATTTTTTTTAGCTGTATTTTTTTTTAATTTAATTAAATCTACAAACAGTTTCATTAAATGAAACAATAATTATACAAATATTTACCAAAATATAAAGTAATATCTAATTTATCTTCATGGTCAATCCATGATCGTATGGTTACAATATTAAGTGCATAAAACAGGGCACTACTCAAGGATAATAAGAAACCAAAGTCTATTTTATGAAAACTGAAATTCATATCTGGTATTATTAGTATTATCTGAAATTAAAAAATAAAATATAAAACAATTTAATTCCATAATATTTGAAAAAAAAAAAAATAAATAAAAGCACATTAAATTAATGCTCCTAATTATTTTTGTATAAATAACACATTTATCAATCGATTAACATGTAAAACAACCAAACTAATTATATGAACCCCAGTTATATTATTGTTATTTTAAGATTTAAAAATAATTTATGTAATAAAAATTGATTACATATAGCTATTACTAAAACACTAATTTAAACTAAAAAATATGAAAAATAATTAACGAAAAATAAGCCACAAATAACTGTATACATATTTTGGGAACAATATCAACACATATATGGTTTTTTCTATTTTTTGGGGCTTATTGATTAAAAATTTTTAAATTTAAATTCATATTTTAAATATTGGTGTCAAATAGGAAGAGGGGCTTCAACGACAAGGCATTGTCTTTAATAAATATTAATGATGATTTTAAATATATTTTTAGTTTTAAATAATGAAGTAGGTTGTGTTGAATATCCATTAAAGAAAATTAAAGTTTTTTTTTTTAATCCTGACAGTTAAAAAAAAAATGATTTAACTACATATTATTGTAGAATTTTTTGAATCAAAATATTTTTTTTATTGAAAAAATAAAAATTTTTAAAAGTTTTCAAAAAGATTAGTGTCTTATCCTTAATAAATCACATTGTATATTGGAAAACATAAATTTTAATGAACTAATATTTTTTGCATATTTATGAATTCTTATCATAAAATATATTAAGAATAATTAAAAATACTAAAGAATATCTCAAATAAAAATTTGATAACCAAGGCTTTTTATAAATTACAACATGATTTGCTGAAAAAAATACACACATTTCCAACTATACCACACAATACAGTTAAAAACTTTGCAACTGTAAAACGATCTGCAGTAGGCGTAACAAAGAACAAAGATAAAATAACAGTAAAAAAGCTAGTAGTAGACATCATACAAGACACTAAGTTATGCTCCAAGTACACCAAAGAGTATTGATGTAACAAATTAGCAAAGCCCCACTAGAAAAAGAAACAGAACATCAATTAAAAATTACTTAAAAATAAATTATCATTAATGTTTACATTAATGGTTTATGCATTAATGGTACACTAGAAATCATTAATTTATTATATTATAATTATCAACATCTTTTTTATACCACTGCGCAAAAAGTGATAAGACAAACACTTTATTATTTGTAACAATTGTTTCCAAAAAAACCTATTAATGTTTATTTTGTCATTTTTTAATAAAACAATAATTAAAAATTGTCGACTTTATGTAATTTAACTATAAAAATTTCCTTTTGTTTTAATTTATTTAAGAGTCTTATTTAAAGTACCACTTATCATTGTGTTTAGAATAGTAAAACATGAATCCAAATACATAGAATTAATCTGTTCATAAAATATATGCTAAAAAACAATATTTTCAATTATTTTTCATTTTAATAAATATTCAATATTTATTAATTTATGATATTCGTTTTTAAGATATTTACTAGTATGTTAATTAATAGTTAAATTTTAAATTAGTAACAAGCTATGTAATAAAGAACTTTAATATGTAATTTCATGCAATCAAGAGGTTAGACAGTTAGTTCCCAATATTTTTCTAATAAAACAAAATTTAATGTTTAGTACCATTAGCATAACTCATCATGTATTAATAGTAAATGTACCATATAGACATTATTTATTACTATAATTCTTACCAGTGGAGCTACAGTAAAGGCAAGTTTAGTAGTTTGATGGAGATTAAGAAGTTGTCTAGATAATTGACATACTTCTCTAGCTCTTAATGTAGCAGCATATGATAATCGAGACATCAATGCTTCTTTTGCTTCTGTTTCTGATAAATGTCGGACCTACAATAACAATATACATAATTTTAGAATATAGAAATTTTTTTGCATTTTCAATACTTTTGATAAATTTGACATTTTACTTCTACTCTTAGTTTACTTTAAAAATATATTATTATTGATATTAATTTAAGTAGATTAATATATACCTTATTAGTGTAATAGTATAAAAAATGAAATAATATTCAATTTAACAAAATTAGGTAAAACTAAAATAAAAAAAAATTGATCTTGTAATATATGAGGATAATGCAAATAGTAAATCTCCCTGTCTAGTCAAAAAAATCAGTTATTCAATGGATCTTAAAATTTTAAGTGAATATTGATTTAGATGTAGTGGCCTGGTGTACACCTAGGTGTAAAAAGATTAGTCATCATGAAACATATCTTAAATATATTACTTAGAACGTTATCCTCATATGCGACTATTGAGAGATGTTCTGTCATTTAAATTCTATAAGGAAAAGGAAAAAATTCTGGAGAAATCCACTGAAAAATGGTGTTGGCTTATATTAGAGACTACGATAAGTCTTCAAGTAGTAATAAAAGAGTGAATAACATTTCTGGAAGTATAGCAAGATAGTTATCTTACTCTCGATGATATTATGCAAAAATTACCCCCATATATTGAAACAAGTCATAGGTCAGTGTCAAACAGTTTGAAAAAAGACACCGTGTTGAAACTAGAAAAAAAAGTTTGAAATGCATTAGGTGAAATTTTTATAATAATAATTATTGAGAAACTAGATGCGAGTACATCATACAACCCTTGAAACAAACAGGGAGAGCATAGTTTGGCAATAAAAGATCTTTCACCATAAAAGTCAAAGTTATTCATTCAGCAAGAAAGTTAATGTTTTTGGGAAAAAAAGAGTTTTACATGTTGAATATCTTCCTAAGAGACAGATTATTAATGCTTTAAAAAAATATGATATTATGAAAAATTTAAAAAAGATTATTCAAAATAAACGGTGTGAACAACACACACGCGCATGCTATGAAACCTTGCTTGGGTTATGAAGTCATGCTAAAAATTGGTTGGTTATATGCTATAAAAAAATAATATCTTTTAATTGATTCATAATTCCTCACACTTTACACTTTTTAGACCTTTGTCCAGGTCATTACTATCGATTCCCGTAGCTAATTCATCTAGCTAGATAGAATTTTTTGATAATGAAGAACTCAAGGCAGAAGTTGGCTGATTTTTAAAGGAATGGTGGCAAAGGACTATAATGCTGGTTGAAAAAACTTTTACTACTACAAAAATACATAGAAAATATTGGGAGCTATTTAGAAAAATAGTTTTTAAATAGTTTGTAGTTTTTATTTTATAGAGTAAGGAATATAATTTTGCATGATATTCTTATACTTATAATAATAAAAAAAAAAATTTAATGGTGTATTTATCAGAACATGAAGTTTTTTTGGGATACAATTTATTGTTACTCAAAAACAATTTTAATATAAATGAATATTTTGGTATATTTAAGTAAAAATTAAAATTTCATGTAAAAATAGTACTAAAAATATTACTTCAGCAACTTTGTTAAACCGAACAATTTTGCTTTCGGATTTAATACTTCCAGAATCATCACTTTCAGTTCCTGATGTCATACTAGAATTTTTGACAGGTACATAACTTGCACTACTCTACATAAAAAAACAAAGAAAGTTTTTATAAGGAAAAAATATTTAATTCAAATTAAAGTTTAATGTCTGAATAAATGAAAAAAATAGTGAAATGATTATGACAAACTTTAGATATTTTATCATTCAATAAACATACCCTTGTCTAGTAAGTATAAATAGAAAAATTAAGTCTAAAAACTCGTACTGATATAAAATGTTAACTAATAAGTTAAAAAAATTAATTCAATGCCATAGTTATTAAATTATTTTTAGTCTTTTAATGACATAATCAACTTCATCATTATGAAATAATTCATAATTTGGAATAAATAAGTCAAACTCTTACCAAATGATTATTTTCATCAGAAAAAACATTATCAGCATCTTCATCATCCTCTCCAACAGCATCAAAGTTAATGAACTATAAAATATTCTATTAAATATATTAAGAATTTGGAAAAACTATAAAGAAAATCTTACCATGTAGTTACTTTGATTTTTACAAGGTTTACGGAATTCTTTAAATATGACATAAATTAATAAGTATATTGTAAATATAGATGCTTTGGCATAAGCAAAAAAAAAAGGTTTTTTGAAGTCTTCTTTTTGGTTAGGAACTGACTGAAAAGAAATATTGCATATAAAACACAATTTAAACTTCCAACTTAAAAATTTTACAATATTAGATATACATTTTTTATAAATTAAACTACCAAGAAAAAAGTCTAATTAATATTAATAAATTTATATTGAAGTATCTATAAAGAAAACTAGAATTTTTATTATAAATATTGAACCATTGTAATAAAATTATATTTTTAACACAATAATAAACAATTATATGCATTATTAGCAGTGTTTGAAGTAACTCAAAATAAATGGATGGATGCCCTTTACTTTTTGCAAACTAAATGTTAAACAATATAGAATACTATTGGTCAATTTTAATTATCAAAATTTAATAACATATTATGGATACTTAAAACAAATTATTAAACCTACCTTCTATATTTTTGTACATTAATTTTAGACAATATAATTAAAATAACTATAACAATACAAAATTATAATTAATAATAGAAAAACACCAAGATAAATTGATCAACTTTATGCATATTATAGAATATTAAGTGGATGTATTATTTTAGACTAAATAAGTGTATAAGTAAAAAATTTAAATTAAAAAATATAATGAGATATGTTAGCCTACAAAATTTTATAACTTAGTGTTTATTACAATTTACAAATATAATTATTTTAACAAATTTGAAAAAATATATAATTTAGTTTTTAACTTATCATAGTATTTTCAGAAATAACTGTGAATATAAAAAAAATGTGTTAACTTCTTCAGCCTTGTATTGGGTCATGCATTAAAATATGTTAAGTCCTCTCCTTCATGGTTTTGGTCTATCTTAGTACAAAGTAAAATAAAAATAAAATTGAACAATAAATTTGTTTGTTTTGTAGGCACATCAATCTGATTAGAATTATAGGTTTCTCATTAAATAAATATCAAGACTAAATATTAATTTGGTAAAATTTGTCAATTATTATAGTGACATTAAATAGTATCTATAAAAAACTATGTGTAAATAAATATTGCTTGTAACCACATCATTTATTTTAAGTTAAATCAACACAGGCTATTATAAGCATATTTGTATTAGTATTATATTATGAATTATCATTTATGTAAATGAAATTATATTATTTGAGTAAGTTTTTACTATTCAAATTTTAAGTAAGCATATTTTAACTATATTTATATTTTGAAGTTTTTTAAGTTAATTTATCTAATTATTATTATTTTTATAATTTAAAGTTTTAATTGCATAAACAAAAATTATAATTTTTAAATTTATTTAGATTACTATGATAAATATTATAATGTGTGGTTCAATTTTTATAGAAATATGCTTAATTATATTATATTAGTATGATGTAATTTAATAATGAATTAATTTATAATCAATAAACTAGAGATACTTTTAATTATTTAATGAACTAATTTTTTTTGGTTCTCTCATTAACCATTTAGCCAGTAAAAATAATTATAAAAGTAATAAAAAAATTATAATTACATTTAAAAACTGAGAAGAAATAACCCAAATAATGACTGATAATAACAATAGTAATAATCCAAAAATTAGCCTCTGGATTAAGTTATGCATTCTTTTTTAAAATCATTAAAAATTGACTTCTTTACAAATTATTTATGGTGATTTTGGCAAGTATTTCATATTTTGTAATAATTAATTTTTTGTAAAATTGACTAGTATGAACATTTTTAATAGTTATAAAAACAAATTTATATTTTTGGTCACATTTTTCTACATTTGATTAAGTTAATACACTGCACCAAATATATTAAGGTATTGCACATACACCATTTTATAAAATACTAATAAAACTACAAATAAATTTTCATACAATAGGTATTATATGTAAAGTTATTTATAATAACTATTGATACAGTAATAGCATCTAGAGTTTCTAATATAAGCTTATCAATTGTAAAAATTGATAATGTTAATCGATCTATTTTTATGTCACAGTTATACGGGTCTATATAATCGGGTTTTATCTATTGACAAAGATAATATTGATATCTTGGTTTGTGATTTAAATTCTTCTTATCATAAAAAACTCCAAACTGAATCCGTTGTAAAAACTTACTACCCGTGGTAACCAAATATAAAAAATTAGTTTCTTGATGATTATAGTGAAATTAACAAATATTTAGTTACTAATTTAATGATAACTTCATTCTTATGTGATATTGAATAATTTAAATTGTATGTTGAACAGAATTCTTATTAAGCACTTAAGATTAAACGACTTAAATTGTTTTCATATCGAAAATTAAAACCATAAAATAATATTGAAAACACATATATATTCGTCGTGTAATTAAAAAAAAAGAAAAAATACAATTTAACAATAAAAAGTTAAATGTAGTTGAAGTATAACATTAAAGAAAAGTATTAAAATATATTGATTAATTTATCATTGAGTTTAAAGTTTATGTTACATTAAATAATATATATATTTACGATTCTTATTGTTATTTAAAAAAACTGTAAATTTGTTAATTAATAGTAATACAATAATCGATTTCCAATTTTTCTATGATTTCATTGAGATATGTGAAATAGAATTAATTATTTTTTGAATAAACAATTTTATTTGGTTTTGATTTTAATAATTATATCATTAATTTGAAAAATCTATCACAATGATTCAAATTCAAGAGAAAAAGAATGAAGAATTTTTTATATCTGAAGAAGAAAATGACAAACTTACAATAAAACCACTGTAAGTAGCTCAATTTAACTTGATATAATTTGATATTAAAAAGCTTTAAAATTTAAAAATAGAGATAATATAGAGATGTCTTAATTGAGTATACCTCAGAATAAATAATTACTTATTGAAGAGAAAGATGACATTTCAACATATTAAGTTGATCTCTCATTAGGAAATTGAACTAATCATTATCAAGTTTCCAACTATTTACATTATAGTAACTTAGTTCATTAGGTATCACCTTCATATAGGTTCTATTCTATTTATCAAAGTAATATTTAAGTATAATATACTTAAATGATGTAATCAAAATTTTTCAAAATAAATTTTAGAGAATTATCTACTATTTAAATAAAAATGTGTTAAAAGTATATTAAGTAAGCTTACAGAACTAAATATTTTGTTATTTAAAGTATTTAATGAAAAAATAGATATTTTTTAACAAATTATTTTGAGTGAATGAATGTATAAACTTTAAACTTTACAAATTTAAAAATTAATTTTTTTTTGGATGTCCTTACAAATACTTTTTGAAAATCCTCGGAAACATTTTAAGAGAAAATAGCCCAGAGATTGAATGCTTTAGTGAAACCTACTTAATTATTTGTTTTTTCTATCTCAGCTATGAGATTCCCTATTTAAGCTATGTCATGTATTATAAAATCAATACAATTATTAAAATGACTTATTGTACTGAATTTAATATGCACATTTGTAAATATTTATTTAAGTATAATAATGAAAAAATTAAATATTGAATTTATGAACGTATTTTATTAAATGACAAGTATATAATAATTGTTGAGTTTTAATTTAATTTGATAAATAGGAAGTGCTGACACTACTTTCTAATTTAATTAATGTATTAAAGACTTATGATTTACAAATTTAATCACTGTTTAAATTTAAAAGTATTCAATTTAGTTAGGAAAATATTCAGATAAAATAAATTACATTTACTATTTTATGTATATACTTTAATTTCATAATAAATAAATCTATTTGTATAATAAGCATTAATTTTTATGGTGTTTCAGTGGTGCTGGTCAAGAAGTTGGTAGATCATGTATTGTTATGGAGTTTAAAGGAAAAAAAATAATGGTATGGTATATAAATTGATAAAATATATTGACTGTTAATAAAAAACTAAAATATTGTTGTATAAACTATTTGTTAAAATTATAAAATTACACAAAAAAGTAATTAATTAACAAATAAAATTATTATATATAATATATATTTAATAATGGTTATTAACAAATTAATTTCTTTACCTTTTATTTAATAGATGGATTGTGGTATACACCCTGGTCTTCAAGGTCTAGATGCATTACCATTTGTTGATCTTATTGAAGCAAATGAAATTGATCTACTTCTTATTACTCAGTAAGATTGGCAATTTTGTTTTATTCATATATTAATAAATTTATATGATTATATTTTGTTTGATTTAGTTTTCATTTAGATCATAGCGGAGCACTTCCTTGGTTTTTATTAAAAACAAAATTTAAAGGAAAATGTTATATGACTCATGCTACTAAGGCTATTTATAGATGGCTTCTATCAGATTATATTAAAGTGAGGTTAGTCAACTTATTTTGAATGTGAAATATAAAAATATTATGTACTAAAAATTATAATAATTTTAGTAATATAGGAACTGAGCAAATGCTTTATACTGAAGCTGACCTTGAAAAAAGTATGGATCGAATTGAAACTATCAATTTCCATGAAGAAAAAGATGTTGGGGGAATTAGATTTTGTGCATATAATGCAGGTCATGTATTAGGGGCTGCTATGTTCATGATTGAAATAGCTGGAGTTAAAGTTTTGTACACAGGCGATTTTTCTCGCCAAGAAGATCGTCATTTAATGGCTGCTGAAATTCCTCCCATAAGACCAGAAATATTAATTACTGTAAATTTATACTTTTAAAATTATATCTATATTTTTTATGGAAATTTAAATTATTTAGGAATCTACATATGGTACACATATTCATGAAAAACGTGAAGAGAGAGAACGGAGATTCACAATGCTTGTTCATGACATTGTTAATAGAGGAGGAAGATGTTTAATACCAGTTTTTGCATTAGGACGTGCACAAGAACTATTGTTAATTTTGGGTAATGTCATTAAAAAAATTATTTTCTTAAAATATTTATTTACTTTTTTTTAATTTTCAGATGAATACTGGGGTCTTCACCCAGAACTTCATGATATTCCAATATATTATGCATCATCATTAGCTAAAAAGTGTATGTCTGTGTATCAGACCTATATTAATGCAATGAATGACCGTATAAAAAGACAAATTGCTGTTAACAATCCTTTTGTATTTAAGCATATTACAAATTTAAAAGTTAGTATTATCAAAATTTGATCAATAAGAATGAAAGCATTAATTTTCTAATTAATTATTAAAAAAAATTGTTAAATTATTTCTAAAAAAAATTTTAAGACCATAAGATTTATAAGTACTACCAAAGAAAAACCAGAAGAGAAACTTTAGGCTCAGCAAAAAATGTAGTCCACTATATCTTACAATTAATATTAACTCCAGAGAACAGATTATTTTTTAATTTTCGGTGATTTATGAATACATTGTTAACTTGTAAATAACAGATTTTGTAAAAAAAGAGGATTAAAAATGATATATTAAAGGATAAATCAAGTAAGCTGTGGTCTGAGCCAAGTTCTAGCAATGGAACTGGGTGAATTGTTTCATATAAAGTTACACTTTATATATATATGAAACAATTCACCCAGTATTTTGAAGCTATATATCTCGATTTTTATATAAGATAGGCTCTTGAAATTTTAAGTTTAAATTAAGTTCTAATAACTTAGAACGCTGTACAAATATGAGCCCATAATGATAAATCTTTACAAAATAAAATCCTTTTAAAATAATAACTTTTGTTATTCATTAATTCATCATCAAAATCATATAACATCCCATATAAATAGAAACATGAAATTCGGTACAAAAGTAAAAGTTTTATAGTGTAAGTATTCTGCAGAATCTGAAAATTCCAATTTTCTTAATTTTAAAGCCACTTTAGGGAGTTTATAAATACAATGTTCAATCAATTTAGAATTTTATTTCTGAAATTATGATTTAATTATAATAAATAAATATAATATATATTCAAAAAATAGCTGTTTTCCGGTTTCGTGTTAGAATTAGAATAATAGAATAATATACAAATCTTCAGTGTGGTTCTTTGTTTCCAGTGTATCACCTCTACTTGTATAGCTGTATTAGGTGGAGATAGACCCTTCACCGTATTATAGCTGTTCGAAAAATTGTTGATACATCGTTCTTTGACCATTATTTAGTCACAGTTTGTATCTTTGCATGGTTATGTTTTTATGTTTGACTTTATATTTGAATTCAACTCTATCTAAATAATATAAAAACACGTGAAAATGTCTCCATGTTCAAAATTTTTCCAAACCTAAACTAACACCTTGGTGCCTATCAAACATTTTACTAATCAGTCATTATAAGTGACATAGCGATATTTTCCATAGTATGAACCCACCTTAAGGTACTGTTTAGAGGTTATTAGAAAAAAGATTTGGATATTGCAGTTAAGTCTATTTGAGCTATCAATTAGTTGAAAATCCGTTAGCAATATAAATGAAAGGGCAGTGTTTTTTTGGAAGTATGTGTGAAGGGAATTTAATTTAAATCAAAGAAAGAATAGACTTTTCTGTGGTAATATCCACTAAAATTATTTTAATGATTATTTTGTATTTAGAACTCTTTTTTGTAATAGTACCAGTTCTTATAATTACATTATGAGTTGATTGTATATTATTAGGTGAATAAAAATTTTAATTAGTTTTAAATAAAAACCTGATTTAAAAGTCAACAATATTTCAAAACAGCCTCTACAAACAATAAAATGTTGATTTATCTGTTGTGTTCAATCAAGGATTGCATCAAGAAGTATTATTCTAACTTATAAACATTTAATTGATTATTGATGAAAAATATTTATGACATTAATACAAATTTAATTCAACTAGTTCTTTATTTAATAACTATTGATATTTATTTTAATATTAAAGTTGTTATTTTAGAGTATAGATCATTTTGAAGATATAGGACCATGTGTTGTTATGGCTTCACCTGGTATGATGCAAAGTGGTTTGTCCAGGGAACTCTTTGAAATGTGGTGTACAGATAGTAAAAATGGTGTAATTATTGCTGGTAAACATGAATAAAAAAATTTTAATTGTTTTCGTATTTTTTATTTAATAATACATTTAAACTAATACAGTTTATTTTTATTAATTTACAGGTTATGTTGTTCAAGGAACCTTAGCCAAAACCATTTTATCTGATCCTGAAGATATAATGACTATGTCTGGACAAAAATTACCATTGAAAATGTCTGTTGATTACATTTCATTTTCAGCGCATACTGATTACCAACAAACAAGAGAATTTATTAATATATTAAAACCGCCCCACATAGTAAGAAGTTTTTTAATTTGCATACTTAACTAATAATGATTAAAAAATATATATATATATATATAATGCATATTTTATGCAAATAATTATAATAACAGGTGTTAGTACATGGTGAACAAAATGAAATGCAAAGATTGAAATCAGCCCTAGTCCGGGAGTATGAAGAAAATTCTGAAGATATTAAAGTTTACAATCCAAGAAATACTGTGGGAGTTGATTTTTATTTTACGGGTGAAAAAACCGCAAAAGTATGTTTTGGTAAATTGTTACAATAATAATCTATAAAATATTTGTTTTATAATATTTAGGTAATGGGAACTTTAGCTGTTGATAAACCAGTTGAAAATAAAACTTTAAGTGGTGTGTTATTAAAAAGAAATTTTAGCTACCATATTTTTGCAGCAGAAGATATACCAAGTAAATATTTAGCTGTTTTTTTTTAATTATCATATTTATATTAACTCAAATATTTTTATTTATGTGTATAATTATATTTCATAAATACTTTTTTTCAGGATATTCGGATATGTTGTTAAGCGAAGTACAACAAAAACAACTCCATAGATTTACAGGATCATTTTCTGTACTTCAAAATATGTTATCACACTTAACTGGCTGTATACCAGAAGTTATATATCCAAACAAAAAATTAAGAGTTTTGAATTCTGTTGATGTATCTATTGATAAAAATTTTGCTACGTTAGAATGGATAACTACTCCTGAAAATGACATGTATGCTGACATCGTAGTGCAAGTATTAATGAAAATTCAAACAATGAACCATGGTGATATGAAAAATGTTTCATCAGTTCCGTTTACTGAGTATGACCGTATGCATTTCAAGGTAGTATTAACTTCTAGTTTAATCTATCAATTGTTTACTCATGACTTCTAGTGCTCATTTCATGTCTTTATGATCATTATTTTGGAAATTATTTTTATATCTAGGCGAGAGGAAAACAGCAACTGGGAAAAGACTAGTGATAAAAATAATAATACCTGCGTCTTATTTCTAGCCATCACTATAAAAGAAATCATAAAATAATTCTCAATATTATTTTTATTTTTCAATTAATGAAGTTGTACATAATAAATGAATCACTTTGTATACAATCTATACAAAATGATTGATTAGAAAATATGTTTACTATACATGTTTTTAAATTTTAGCTTAAATGTGCTTAAACGTTTATTACTAGGTTCTTACTATTTTTTTTATACACAATGTATTCATTAATTGAAATTTTATTAACATATTAATTAGCACTAATATTATGTGGATATTCTACTTTACTATTGTAAATAGTAATTTAATTATTATAATAATTACTGACTGACAATAGACAATTGTATTTGAGTGGCCTATATATAAGTGTGGTTTTAATAACTTATTAATCCCATTAATTTATTTAATAACTTAAATAATTTAATAATACCTGAAACATTCTAGTAATTATGCAATTTTTTTTAAAGTTATGATCTAGAAAATAAGATCACAAAAAAAGGTTTAATTTTCTGCTTGGTAATTGTAATCATTTTAATATCCTCAAGGTTTAAACTAAAAATGCACCTATCAAAAAAACCATATTCAGTGTTTTATTTAGTAATCAGCAATATCATAAATAAATATTGATAAAATTTTACGTAATTTAATTTTTGTGTTTAGGAATGTTTAATTGAAATTTTACAAGAAATGTTTGGAGAAGAGTCTGTCCCTAAAATATTTAGAGGTGAAAAATTATTTGTGGCTGTTGATGGAAAAAAAGCAAATATTAACTTGAAAACTTTGGTAAATTCAATATCCTATGATAAGAGTTAGAACTTGATAAATGAAAATTGGAAAAATTGTGCAAAAGCGATTAACTTAATTTTTTTTTTTTATAATCAGATTTTGTTAGTTTAAAATTAAGATTACAATGATCTATACATCTGTATAAGAAAAAAAATAGTTACAAGAAATAATTTGAAAAATATGTATATTTTAACAATTTTTTTGTGGGTAAGGATACATTTTAAAAATATCAAATTTTTTCAGCTTCTTGAAAATGTTTGAGAAATGGAGTTATTTTTTTTTTTGTACAGGACTATTTAATTGAAATTTTTATGTTTTTGTATTTTTGTCTACAATTAATTTTTTTTTAGTTTTTAAATTTAAAAATAATGTAATAAAGGGTGTAGTTAAAAGATCTAAAAACTTTGTCTAAAATATTAAAAGTTTTTTTTAACTCCTAAACAATTTTTTTATTTACTGGTTCTATGATATAAAACCCTAATATTCGATAAAAATCTGTGTTATTTATACTTTTAGTATTACTTATAAATTAATTATTGCAATATTTTATATACATGTTTTTTTATTACTATAGGAAGTTACATGTGAAGATGAAAGTCTGCAAAGAATGGTACAAGCTGCTGTGTCACGGTTACATAACACAGTTACACCTTTAAATAAACCTTAACTTATAAAAATAAATATGTTATTACTCATTACTGGTATTTAATTATAACATATTATTCTATATTTTTAAATAAATGATATTTGTATTTTGCAAATGTTTTTTAATTATTGTGATTAAATATGTATTAGGTGACTTTTTTGATAGACAATGTGTCATGCCTGTTGCTCTATGTTCAATTCTGTATTGCTGAGCTATGAACAAGGTTTTCCCAATCTTTCTAATACAAGAATTAAGTTCCTTAATTGAGAGGATATTACATTCATATGTCAATATAGGGGATGTAAACCATTTTTTTGTTATGTATTTATCATAAATATTGTATTAAATTTTGACAATATTTGTAGAGATAATCAAAACTCGAATCATCCAAGTTGGTTGTGATTATTGGTGAACCTATACTTCAATTAAATAACTAGTTTAGTTTGTAAAATGCCTTATTGAATCGTTTTGTAAAATGAAGGACTTAAGGTATTATTTTCCACATAGTACACTAAAACATATTAGATTATGATTTTAGTGCACTAATTATGCACTAATTGCAATTCGTATTTATTAATTATATTTTTTATCAGTCTAAAAGTTTTTCACTAATTGTACTTCATATAATCTAATGCCATTTAAAATTGATATGTTTTAGTATACTAAGTAGAGAATTAGTACGTCAGTATAAAAAATATACCCTCTGAATGAGACATAATGTATATATAATATTTTAGTCTTCTGAGGTTTTTTTTTTTAAATGAGGAACAAGTTCTATATTGGAGATAATTAATGTCTGGTCCTAACCATTTACTAACCTACTATAATAATATGAAGTGTAGATATATAGTGCTGAAATAGAAAATGCAATACATATTAATTTTTTTGAAAAGTAAAATTTTTATTTTTAATCATAATGAAAAAAATAGTAAGTTATTTTTGAATAGTAGTTTTAAGATAAAAAATCCAACACAGGGGGGTTGCCGCACATAGGTATCGTGGCATAGTTGGATCAAGTATTATGATATCTGACAGTAATTAAAATCACTATAAAAAAAAAAAACGCTTCGTAGCATATCTTTAGATAGTGTTTAATTTAAAAAAATTGGTGGATTATTCCAAAAGCTACATGATCAGCTAGTTCCTTATTAATATCCTGATTTAGATAAAGTATGTTGAATGAAAAAGGGATTATTAAAAAATATTATTTCTCATAAAACAATTGTGTTGATCCATACACTATTCAATAAGTTATATCATTATACAGTTAAAAATGTAAAAAATACAATCGAAAATGTTCACACAAAAATAGCATTTGGTAGACATTTTCACCGCGAAGACAAAATAAAGTCTGAAATTTTTTTTTTTCATAATAAAGTACATTACATTACCTTTAATTTAAGGTATATATAAAAGTATCAGACCNGCTTTAATTTAAGATATATATATAAAAGTGTCTGACTTTCCGGAACACTCAAAAGTTAAGTTGAAAAAGTTCTACTTTCTATATGCATTTTTCAGATTTGAACCCCTCCCCCCACCGTTTATAGGGAAATAGTCTGATTAAAAAAAAAATATGTTGAATGATAGATGTATATAAATACTACTTCTCGTAAAAAAATTGTATTGATCCATACATTTTTTAAAAAGTTATAGCACTTTAAAGTAAAAAATGTAAATTATAAAATCGAAAATTTTCACACAAAAATAGCATTCGGTAGCCGTTTTCACCATGAAGACAAGTCCAGAGGTCAAATTTTTTTTTTTCAAATTAAAGTATATTACATTAGCTTTAATTTAAGATATATATAAAAGTGTCAGACCTTCCGGAACACTTTCAAAAGTTAAGTTGAAAAAGTTCTACTTTCTATATGCATTTTTTATATTTGAAGCCCCCCCATATATAGGGAAATAGTCTGATTTAAAAAAAAAGTATATCCAATGAAAGATGTATATAAATACTACTTCTCATGAAAAAATTGTATTGATCCATACATTTTTTAAAAAGTTATAGCACTTTAAAGTAAAAAATGTAAATTATAAAATCGAGAATTTTCACACAAAAATAGCATTCGGTAGCCATTTTCACCACGAAGACAAGTCCAGAGGTCAAATTTTTTTTCCATAATAAAGTACATTACATTAGCTTTAATTTAAGATATATATACAAGTGTCAGACTTTCCGGAACACTTTAAAAATTAATTTGAAAAAGTTAATTTATTTGTGAAAAAGTTGTCATTTTAAATCCCCCTTGTGAGTAGGTAAAGGGTTAAATTTATAAAAAAAATATACCAACTGATATGTAGACATCAAGCATCTACAAAAAAAAAATTATATTGATTTGTTCATTTTTGAAAGTTATGGCAGTTTTAAGAAAAAACAACAAGTCCAGAGGTCAAATTTTTTTTTTCAAATTAAAGTATATTACATAAGCTTCAATTTAAGATATATATAAAAGTGTCAGACCTTCCGGAACACTTTCAAAAGTTAAGTTTAAAAAGTTCTACTTTTTATATGCATTTCTTAAATTTGAAGCCCCCCCATATATAGGGAAATAGTCTGATTAAAAAAAAAAGTATATCCAATGAAAGATTTATATAAATACTACTTCTCATAAAAAAATTGTATTGGTCCATACATTTTTTANTACTTCTCATGAAAAAATTATATTGATCCATACATTTTTTAAAAAGTTATAACACTTTAAAGTAAAAAATGTAAATTATAAAATCGAAAATTTTCACACAAAAATAGCATTCGGTAGCCATTTTCTCCGTGAAGACAAGTCCAGAGGTCAAATTTTTTTTTTTCAAATTAAAGTATATTACATTAGCTTTAATTTAAGATATATATAAAAGTGTCAGACCTTCCGGAACATTTTCAAAAGTTATGTTGAAAAAGTTAATTTTTTGTGAAATAATTATCATTTTAAATATCCCCTGTGGGCAGGTTAAGTGTCAGATTTACAAAAAAAATATACCAAAGATAGGTAAAGATAGGTAAAGACATCAAGCATCTATAAAAAAAAATTATATTGATATGTTCATTTTTGAAAAAGTTATGGCAGTTTTTAGTAAAAAAAATTGAAAAAATTTCGAAAATTAGCGATTTTTAAATTTGTAATTTTTTTGGAAGTTTCCTCCGTTTACGGGGAACGAGGGAAAATTTTTCAATTTTTGAGGGTAATGTCTTCGACTAAATATGATTTATGATCTTTTGACGTATCGTTGAATGAAATCCGTTTCAGTGAGAGCTAAGAAAAAGTGATAACAAACCAAAAAAAAAAAAAAACCATCATAGTAAAACCAAAGGTAGGGTTTCTAATGTGGTCTTTTAATCAGCCACAAAATTGAAGTATACGGCCATTAAAATTTTTGATGACTGGATCACAAACATCCAACTGCAAATCATTTGTGTTACATTTAAAATACTACTACTAATTCATTACTAAACGAGACATCTGGTCAATTTTGAAAAATAGCCGAATTTTCATTATTACCCAAAGATTGACAGGGAAACTAGTGCACTCATCTGAAGTGTACCTGGATCACAGGATCTGGTAAAAATAAAATAGAACATGTTATCTATTTCGTGGTATGCAAAACTAAATCGTGTGACTTTTCATAATGGTTTCTAAAGTCTAAAATATACCCAAACAATTCCTGAACGATTCTGGAATTAAAGTGCAAGATTGAAAATAACTCCCAATCAAAATAAAGGTTTGATAGTGATAATCTACGATAAGTGGTGCCAAACAGAGGTGAACCAAACGACGAACTAAGGTTTTAATTTGTGACCTAACCAAATAATCTTTCAACTTTTTACTGATTATTCCTACTATTAATACGTATTTTTACCGGTTTGATAAGTAATATTAATTTTTTCATGTCTTGTGTAATTTAGGTTTTAAAGAACCAATATGTACACAGATTTTTTAATCTTTTAGTTTTAGTTTATGTGTTACTTAAAATAATGGAAAAATCCAATGAAACTGACTTATCTAAATCAACTAAGCTAAAATTACTTCATTGTATAATTTATCCTGGTATTGTCAATAATGTAGAATGTGCATTGAACAAACTTGGTGGTTTGGGAGAAATTGCCAATGCATTTCATCATGATGATGCTACATTATCTGTGAACTTAATAAAATCAGAATTTGGGCCTGCATTGTGTGGAATAAAAAATTATAGCAGATCTTTAGTAGTATCTATGAAAACTAAGTGTAAAGTTAATAAAAAAACAGGAGTAAGAACTATTGTGGGAGTGCAGTCTGTTAATGTAATAGGGGTTGTACAAAAGACTTTTAAATTTACCTCAATGATGGATTTTGTATATTTGCCTACTTCACCCAACTGCTCAGAATTGTGGCGATCTAAAGAATGTTTAGATATGCAATGGGCTTTAAATAAAGATGCATCATTATTTTTACTACCCAACAAACTAAGTAAACATAATGAACCACAATTGGACTTTTATGATCTTGTAAATCTTAAAAAACTTGATATGTTGTCTAAAAAACATAGATTAAGACCATATTTACGTAATTTTACCAAAAATAATCGTTTTGAAGATCAAGATTTACCTCCAGTACCTATTGACTTACTAAAATATTGTTTAACAGTGAAAATGTTTTCACCTGATGAAAAAAGATTGATTGATAGATTATTTGAAAAAAGACCTATATGGGTTAAACCTGCACTAATCCATTTTGTTAAAGTAATTAACAAAGAAAAAATGAAATATTTATTACCAACAACAGGATATTTTACTACAACTGGACCTTTTCGTCGCATGTGGGTTAGGTAAGTTGATGTTATGATTTTTATTATTTTAGTTTTAACAATTTTTCTCATTTTTAGACATGGGTATAATTATCACAACGATCCATCTAACTATATTTATCAAGTGATTGAAATACGTAATAATTGGTTAGATGATCATCACCCAGCAAATCCTAAAAAAACTAAATTGAAGATACAAAATTATAACCCAAGTTCTGCTGAAAAACAATTTTATTTTACTCCTAATTCTATCCCATTATCTATTGTTGCTAATTATCAACTGTGTGATATTCATTTGCCTGAAGTACAAGAAATGTTAAAAAATCCAACTTTGTCTACTATATGTAGTAGAAATGCTGGCTGGTTAAGTAAAGAATTAATTGAGGATATTCGTGCCGTAATGTATAAATATTTAGAAAATGCTTGGCAAAAATATTTAGCTGGAGATATATCATTAAGTGAAAGTGAACATACCAAATTGTATAATGATTATATGGAGGAAGACAATTTAGATAATACTAGACAAAAAATAACTAAAAAATTGGAAGAAGGACTCAAACAAATTGGTAAAGACAATGAAAAGTTAAATGATGAGTTTGATACTGTGGTTGAAGATTATAAAGACAAATATGATGAATGGGCAACACTAGACCGTGATGAACTAGCCAAAATAATATTTGCTGATACTCGTATAAATAAGGCTGAAGAAAATAATTCAAATCCTTGTAGTGAAGATGAATTTGATGATTTTAAAATTGATACTTTAAATTTATCTATTTAAATTCAATATTTTTAATATTAAACATTAGTTTTATTATTGAAAACTAATAGCATAAATATGAATCAGGTATTTTTTTCAATATTAATTAATTTGAATTGGTAATTTGTACCTAGTTGAATACATACTAGTATATAAAATGTATGTTTTAGATAATTTACTACAGTTTTTATTTTAATAGGTTATATTTTGTATACTATAGTAAATAAATATTTATAAGAAATAATTTATTTTAATGCCTAGTCTCCACATAAAGTATTTTAAAATTGTTTAATTTGTGTAATCTTCTCTGTACAAAATTATAATCATTCTTTAAGTTTAAAAATAAGTAGAAAATTGAAAAAAATATTATGGTGTTTTATGCCATTTTAAATAAACTAGTGGAATTATTTTATATTTTGCATATTATCAAAAATATGTTTTAAAATCACTAATACATTAATTTTAATAAGAAATAGTCAGACGTTAAAATTTACGGTTTTACAATTAAATTATTTTAATTGAAGCATTGGTGCAACTCGCAGAATAATTATTGATAACTCCATGATGAGTTACAATTTATCAACTCAAAAATATTGTCTAGTTAGTTACACATTAATTTAAAACAAATATGTTTTTTTAATAAACATATCAGTTTATTACATCAATGTCAACTTCAATTTTAGTATACTTGTTTAGTTTTAATCATTTAAACAGATTTTAGGTTCCTAAGAATACAATATAAATTATAATACAGAAAGGTTCTTACAGAGAGGCTGCGTATTTCAAAAACTAAACAAACATTTATTAGCAATATTGAAATATTTAAGAGAGGTACACTTATTATTCCTAACTCATAGATACAACTATTTTACAAAAAAAAAACTAGAATTTTAATACTTTAAATCTGCTAAAAAGTGTTTTATACTGTTGAATGATCAATTAATCATTTGAAAATATCGAAGAACTTAAGGAGAGTTATTTCATTAAAGATTTTTTAAAGTATGACTAATACATTTTAAAGGATATTAAAACCCTACATGGATAAAAGTCTTTATTTAAAGTTTACAAGTGTATTTAGTTTATGTACTAAATGTAAGTGTAATTTGAAAGGATTTAAATTAAAGATTTAAATATAAAATTACTTGTAAAAATCTATATCATTAATGTTACATTTAATCAACAAAAAGGCAATTAAAAATTAATGTCTTAAAATTAAAATCGGTCAATTAAAATTTTTATTTATAAAAATAATAAAATAGAAAGTTTATAATTGTCTCATTATATTTATAGTAACATTATTCACTTTAAATAAAATAATTCTTATAGAGATTTAAAGAACTAAATCAAATAATGTTTAGTCAAAGTCACACTAGAAAAAGATTTATTTTGTGATCAATTTTTTAACTTTTATATAATAAATTGATAGAAAGTTTGGTAATTAAAAACCACATAATCTATAATTAAATGCATTTTAGTAAAAATTATTTATTAAAACATTCAATGCATGACATAAAAATTGGTTTTAATATTCATTTCAATTTTCAGCATTAAGTGTTTTAACAAATATAATACTATTATTTTCAACAGAATAATAATCTAGAGATTGGCTCATATTTTCCATGGAGTATTCAGTTCCTGGATTCTGAAAATAAAACAGTATTTAGTATAGTTTGAGTTATTTTTTTACTAAAATTAAAATTATGTACAAAAAAAAATTGTATATGCAAATACTCATTATAAAATGAATAAAACTAATAAAAACATTGGCGTAAGTCAGAGATCTAAGGAACTAATTAGCTCTTAAACCTTATAAAATGTATAAATATAAGAATATTTTATTATATCTAATGAAGAAGGTTTTTATAATATAAAGACAGGTCATCTAACAGGTTACAAAAAATTTTTATTTAAAAAATTTTAGTTATTGAAACATGAAAGAATAAGTATAGTAGATCTTTGACAAGTCAAAGTCAAAAGAAAATGATTTTTTTTGGCTTGTTGAAGTTTTTGAACTACTAAGGTTTTGAGTTTTCAAGGTTTCAGGGAAAATAATTCAACTTAGAGTTTTAAGGAATCATTAGAATCATTTTTGCATTTAAAACTCTTAGTTCCACATAAATAACGGTTCAAATAAAATTAGCAACACTAAATTTTATGAAATTATAAAAAAATGTACGCAGTATAATTGTTAAAACAATTAAATCAATTCTTCTAGATAAAATGGTTAATCACAATTAAAAAAAAAAAAATGTATAATATACTATAAATTATTTCTTCGAGTTATTTTGAAAATATTTTTTAACTAATTGAGATATTCACAAAGGGAATAGAATTTATTAATTTATTTATTGTATTTTTTTTTTTAATACAACTGGACTACAAAACTTTACTAGAAAGTTTTTTTAGAAATAACATATTACCTTGAATTTTATACAAATAATAATATAAAGGATAATATACCTTTTCTACCGAATAAGTCAACTCCAAGTTTTTATTTCCAAGATTAAATATTCGCTTGCTTAATTCTTTCAATCGATACATTGTCATAGTGACAGGTAATGTTTTAGTTTTTATGTTAATCTCTTTGTTTGATGTTTTACAATAATTAACTAATTTTACTTTTATAGTTTTTATTTTATTCGTCGACTCAGTATTATCTATATAATAAGTACCATACTCTGAAAATGAGTTTTAATAATAAATAGTTTCATAAAATAATGAAAAATTAAAAAAATTACTTTCAATAAGTTCTGTGTAACGTGGATACTTAAGTAAAAATTCTTTTTTTTCTTCATCATTAGTCAGAGTTTTATGCCATATAACTTCAATATCTTTTAAAAAATCTCTTTCAAAGTGTTTACGTTCTTGCATAGTTATACTTGTTCCATTTAATATCTATAAATAATTTGATTGAAAATTAAGTTTTTAAGTATAAATCAACAATAATATTAATAAATTATTTTGATTTGTTTTCATTCAAAAGTGATTAACATAAGATGACAAAAATTCTAAGGAAAAAAATTATTTATTTTTTTGTTCCAAGAAATATGATTTTATTCATCTTCCTATTTCCCTTATACACTACATTTGCAAGATAAGTGAATATTTTACATTATAAATTGTTTATAGTAGGTTCTAAGTGTTATAGTATAAACTGTTTAAATTAGAATTAAAAAAATTGTTATTATATTGAGTATGCTTCAAGTATAGCAATTATATAGGTTAACAAATATTTTCTGACTATTAACATTCATGATGGCATAACATACCATTAATGTTGAAATTCTTGATACTATTTGCAAAGTATAATTTGTAACAGTTAAGTCTTTAAGCAATGGATTGTTTTGAATACGAAGTGAAATTAATGATTTCAATTTGTTCAGTTCATTAATTGAATCCATCTTTAAAAAATTGCACACTCTGGTCAAAGAAAACATAGTATATATAATATTAATATTATAACTTACACTTGAGATCATATTATGACTTATCATTAAGAACTTTAGTGAAGAGAATGTTGACGGTTGTATTTGAATTACATCTATTTTATTTCGGTTGAGATTTAAACACTCTAAACTAATTATAAAAGAGTAGATATTTAAAAATAAATAATTAAAATTAATAGCAAAAATATAATAATTTGAATTAATACTTTTTTAGAGAGTGTAGTTTATTTATTTCTGGCCAAGATAATTGATTATTTTCCAAATTTAGAGTTACTAAATTATTTATTATATGTGAAGTAATTTTTAATTTATCAATATTATTTTGCGGAACCTGAAAAAAATTGTTTATAATTTTAACAATTAAACCAAATTCAACTTTCATTTTTACTTTAAAAATGTTAAATTTAATTTTAGTTTGTTTCATATAACAGAAAAAAATTTTAAATTCTGTAATGTGTAATAGTAGTAATACCTTTATGATATTTTTATTAATTGAAAAAAATCATATCAATTAATGTTCCTAGACTATTATAAAGATGGACAAAATGAACTTAAATCCCTTAGCTAAAGTATGTAAATAACTAAGATGATGTGCGAAAGATTCAAAGTGTTTGTAGCAAATTTAATTAAAATATTTATAAAATATTAAAAAAATTTAATAGGTTTATTTTAATACATTAATCATTTATTTTTGAACCACAATACTTTTAGTTCTATAGGATTATTGAACAGTTATTTTATTAATGTTTTCTAAGATCTCAAGACCTAATATATAATTTTTTGAACTTTAATCTTTTATAATCAAAAAATCGCCATAATTAATAATTCTAAAAATATATTGTAAGCTGAATAGACATAAAAATCAAATTTCCTAAATTTTAAGATATGGAATAATTTATGTACAATATACAAACATGGGAATCCACGTGACTACTATTTTATACAATTGATATATATATATTTAAATAATATATATACTTCTAATTCTACTAGAAGTGGAAATACTTGACATAAACTCATAACATCATTCCAAGAATAGTTTAGATTGCCAAGAATAATTTTTTTCAAATTTCCAAAGCAATCTTTTAAGTTTTCAAAATTAGAAGGTATTTTTATATTATTGAAACTAAAAAAAAACAAAAGCATAATTGATAAAAATGAGTAAAGAAATAAAAACATAAAAAAATTACCTTAAATTTAAATTTGTTAAATTTACTAGTTGTTTGGCTATTTGTGCAATAGTTATCCAATTTGAAAAGCAATTATTACATAATTCTAGATCAGAGATGTTGGGACAACAATCTTGTATTTCTCCATATGAACCCGCATCAGTGATAGATTCATTGTTTAAATTGACATAAGTTAATTTGTCAAAATGCCTAAAAAATAATTTTAAGAGTAATTTTCAAGAATATTTCATAAAAATTTAACATTGATTCTTACGCTTGTTTTTCTTGAATTTTTTGCATTCCAACCACTTCAAATAAGGACATTTTTGATTGTTTTCTAATAGCACATATATCATCATTAATAACAGGATCACAATTTTGACCATATTTAAATTTGAATGCCTGTAAAAAGGTAACTTGACAAGGAATGACTTTTTCTACTTTCACAAAGGAGGCTCCATTTGGATGACTAAAATTTGTTATACTTATAAATTATTACTTATTTTTATAATAAGATTCTTTTCTATTTAAAGATACTTACATAGTCTTAAAATATCTTATACTGTTATGAATACCATCATGTTTACCTCTTAAAGGATCATCCCACTCTATTCCAACCCAAATTTTCTCATTCCCAGGTAATTTTCCAATATATCTAGTTACTCCATAGGATGTATCGACTAAAACTCTTCGTCCAACTTTGATAGAATTATCATTACAAACATCACTCATGTCTTCTTGTATAAAATTAGTTGAATAAAAAAAAACTAATATTATAAATATACTAACATGGTATTCTATCGATAAATAAAAAACAATTTATCGTTTTCTGTAGTGAAATCTTGTAGAATTAAAAGTAGTGAACTAATTTATTATATTAATACAAATTTTCACTATGTAAAAAACTCGAAAGGATTTAATATGCTAGACCCTTTCTATTCTTCTTGAATATCAAACTAAATATTCTGTATTCTAGTCGTTATCTTAAAAATTGAATTTTTCTTATCATTCATTGAAAACTTAACATTTATAAGTGATATTTATATTTTGTAGAATTTATTAGTTTTCTTCTGTGAACAGTATTTTAATATATTTAAACAACGATAATCTCATTTATGTCTTATACATTAAAAAATAAAAATTAGACTTTTAGTTTATGATCGAATTTCTAAATCCTATAATCTGATCACAAATTACAAAGATATTCTTCAAATAATGTGATTTCTACTATAAATGGTAATATTGTAGTTTGTTGACCTATTGAGTTATCTGTAAACGCCACGAAAAATTATTCAATTAAGGTTTGTATACTATTTATTATTATATTTTAAAGCCAAACACCTTTAATAAATCTATTGTGATTCAAGTGATACTTATTCTGTTATTTATTGATATCTTAGTAGGGTAGTTAATGGAACATTTTTTCGTATGTCTATTATTTTATCACATTTTTTTGATTTTATTTACAGTTCTTATAACATATCTTTCATTAGCTTAAAAAAGCATTTAACTTATTAGGTAATACTAAAATATCATATTAGAAATATGATATTGCTTAAATTAAGTTAAAATTTGTATAATTTTTTAAAATATATAAAATAAATATTATTTAAGAGTGTTAAAGGTAGAAAAATAGCACAATGTAAACTATTAACTGTACTGATTTAAATATTCCAAATATTCATACAATTAAATATTTCAAATATACATAAAATATATTTTTGTTTAATAACGAATAGAAGTCTGAGTTCTCATCCCTTATATATTATTAAAATGATAATAATGCATTAAAGATTTGTATAAAAAAAAAAGTCTATAATTAATACTTATTTTTTTAAATAGTAAAACGTAAAATTTAAGTATATATTTACTGCATGTAGAAATTTAAGTTACACTAATAATCAGAAGCGTGTCCAGAGAATAATACCTTCATTAATGACAATAATCATTTCTAAAAAAAAGTGAGGTTTAAAAAAAAAAAGATAAAATATGGAATTTTGTAAATTTTTTTATCATGTCCCTATTATAAAAATTCTGGATACACTTCTATTAATACAGGGTGATTCTTTTAACACTAGCCATACAATTTTTCTTAAAATAATAATTTTTTTGTGAATTGTTTTGGCTTTTGTTAGTTTGATTACTATTTCTATTTATCAGTTATAAAATATATTTTATGTTTATTCCTTACAGGAGTATCATCTTTATTTTTTTTAAAACATACATGATTAATTTCTAGAAAATTTCTAAAATTAGCTTCTAGAAAATTATATATTTCAAAAAAAAATGACTGATTGATAATAAATTTTAAACCAGTATTTCAGAAGTTACCAACAATTTAAAGTATTGGCTGATGATGAGACGTGGGTGTTGCTATTTTTATCACTAGATATTTCTAGGCCTGACTTCTTCTTCCGTCTAGTTATAAAAATGTTAATAACTTCTAAAATACTGGTTCAAAAATTTTTATGAACAAGTTATTTTCTTAATTATATTACATATTATTATATAAGCTAATTAATTATGTATGTGGCCATAAAAGAAATAAAGTTGTCATCCATATAAGATATAATGTATGAATATAAAAATTATTTTATTTAATAGAATAACATATTTAACTAACTAAAGCTAAAAAAATTATTATTTTAAGAGACATTTGGCGTCTAGACTAAAAAGAATCATTTTGTAGAGTATTATTCTCTAAATAGCGCAGGAACAAAATTAAATAAAAGTTAATTGAAATTATTTGCTCATTATTGAATAAATATATAACCTTAAATTATTTAATTTTATAAAAGATTTTTGTTAAATAATTTTAAACTTTTTTAGATTTAATTTTATTAAATAATTTTATGTGTAGTATAGGAACCACTCAGTCGCACCCCTAGCATTGATGTTCAGCTGAGCTATTGCTATTGGTTTCCATATGGGTACCGCAAGAGAATTTTAATAATAGTCATAATATAATTTCAATAGCATGAAATTGATTAAAAAAATAGTGTTTTTTTAGAAAACTATTAGTTTTTTAGCTTCGATGCGAAGCGGGGAAGGTATTAATTTTACTATGATGTGTTTTTTTTTTTTTTTTTTTTTTTTTT